ACTCAGAGATATCAAGAGAATAAGGTATTTGCTTGATAGGACAGTACTTAATTGTCGTGGTTTAACCCGGCCGGCAGCTAAACACCACGCAGCCGTTCGCTCACCCTCCCCCCTCCCTCTCTGGGACGGGGGAGAGAAATGGAAAGTGAAGCCCGTGAGTTGAGATAAAGACAGTTTAATAAGACAGGAAAATAATAATAACAAAATAATAATAAAATAATAACAATAATAATACAATGGTGATAATAGGAAAGTAATAATAGTATGTACAAACAAGTGATGCACAATGCAATCGCTCACCACTCGCTGACCGATGCCCAGCCTAACCCCGAGCAGTCCGGCCCCCTCCCCCCGGCTAGCCACCCCTATATATTGTTTAGCATGACGTCAGATGGTATGGAATACCCCTTTGGCTAGTTTGGGTCACCTGTCCTGGGTCTGTCCCCTCCCAGCTCTTACTGCACCCCCAGCCTGCCCGTTGGCAGGACAGAGCAAAAGGCTGAGATGTCCTTGGCTTAGTATAAGCACTGCTCTGCAACAATTAAAGCATCGGGGTGTTATCAGCACTCTTCTCATCCTAAGCCAAAACACAGCATTCCACCTGCTACTAGGAAGAAAATAAATTCTGTGCTAACTGAAACCAGGACATTAATGTAGGTATTTATGAAGTGAAGAAGAACGCTGAAACCAGCCAAAGCCCTATCAGACATGGTAAGGCCATGCTTCTGTTAGGAAGTAATTCAGAGTGCTTCCATGGTGTACTTTGGACAGATGAACTCTGGTCCTCTGGACTAAGCACCCCCAAGGGACAATTCTCTGAAAAATCTCTCGGAATGATCTGTCCTTATCTCTTACACTGTAGTCTCCATGAGGAAAGGATAAATATTCATTGCCCATGTGGAAAGGAGCTCCTCATGTAGTTGTTTCTAAGCAAAATCTCCTTCTTGTGTTCTGTTGACAGAAACCACTTGGCGAGCCAAGCCAAATCACCGAAAATGGAAGTAGTGGAACTACTGCCAAACCGTGCTGCTGCTTCTAAACCAAACTGCAGTGTAGGTGGGGACAGAGCAAGGGGACACAACCCAGCCAGGGCGAAATTGAAAGTCACCTGTCTGAGCCGCGGAAGGAAGTCAGCGCTTCCCAGTTTGAGACTCGTCCCTGACTGGTCCCACAGCAGCTGGAACGCTTCCCATTGCTGCTGATGGATTCCCATGGATCAGCCAGTGACACAAGCTGCCAGAGCGACTGAAGCGATGTGGAGTTACGCTTCTCCCCCTTCTGCGTTCAGATCCGTGAAAGGAAGGAGAAGAGGGGAGAAGAAGAGGGGAGAAGAGAAGAGAGGGGGAAAGAAAAGGACAAGAAGGGAGGGAAGGGGAGGGAATGGGAGGGAAGGGGAGGGAAAGGGAGGGAAAGGGAGGGAAAGGGAGGGGAGGGCAGGGCAGGGCAGGGGCATGTAGGGCATTGTAGGGGAGAGTAGGCTAGTGTAGGATAGTGTTGGGATAGTGTAGGATAGTGAGGGGAGTGTAGGGGAGTGTAGGGGAGGGGAGTGTAGGGGAGGATAGTGTAGGGAGGGGAGTGCAGGGGAGGGGAGTGCAGGGGAGATGAGCATAGAGGAGGGGAGTGCAGGGGAGTGTAGTGTAGGGGGGTTTGGGGGAGTGTAGTGTAGGGGAATGTAGGGGAGGGGAGTTTAGGGGAGTGTAGGGGCGGGGAGTCTAGGGAAGGGGAGTGTAGGGGAGTGTAGGGGAGGGGAGTGTAATGGAGGATAGTGTAGGGAGGGGAGTGCAGGGGAGGGAAGTGTAGAGGAGCATAGGGGAGTGGAGTGGAGTGTAGGGGAGTTTAGGGAAGTGGAGGGGAGGGGAGTTCAGGGGAATGGAGGGGAGGGGAGTTTAGGGGAGGGAAGTATAGGGGAGGGAAGTTTAGGGGAGTTTAAGGGAGTTTAGGAGAGTTTAGGGGAGGGGAGGGGAGTTTAAGGGAGTTTAGGGGAGGGGAGGGGAGTTTAGGGGAGTTTTGGGGTGTTTAGGGGAGGGGAGTTTAGGGGAGTTTAGGGGAGGGGAGTTTAGGGGAGGGGAGTTTAGGGGAGGGGAGGGGAGGGGAGGGGAGTTTAGGGGAGGGGAGTTTAGGGGAGTTTAGGGGAGGGAAGTTTAGGGGAGTTTAGGGGAGGGAGTTTAGGGGAGTTTAGGGGAGTTTAGGGGAGGGAAGTTTAGGGAGTTTAGGGGAGGGGAGTTTAGGGGAGTTTAGGGGAGTTTAGGGGAGGGGAGTTTAGGGGAGGGGAGTTTAGGGGAGGGGAGGGGAGTTTAGGGGAGGGGAGGGAAGGGGAGTTTAGGGGAGCGGAGTTTAGGGGAGGGGAGGGGAGTTTAGGGGAGGGGAGGGGAGTTTAGGGGAGGGGAGTTTAGGGGAGGGGAGTTTAGGGGAGGGAGGGGAGGGGAGGGGAGGGGAGGGGAGGGGAGGGGAGGGGAGGGGAGGGGAGGGGAGGGGAGGGGAGGGGAGGGGAGGGGAGGGGAGGGGAGGGGAGGGGAGGGAGGGGGTGGCTATTGGTGGGAAGTAAGGAATGGGCCTGGGAGGGAATGGGAGGGGAGGGGAGTGCTACCCTAAATAAAATGGCCAAAGAAGTGGCCTTTTGGATCTGGAGCCAAATATGTATGTTGCCATTCATTCCACAACGCGATTCATCACTGCAATCTGCGTTTTGCACAGTGCCATTAAGGGTTTGGCATGCACAGAGGTGACTGAGTATTTTCAGAACTAACTTTCCTTCCTAACTGATTTGAGACTTTTGCTGGTGTCATAAATGGCTCAGTCTTCCAAATAGGGCAAGAATCAAAGTTTACCATGTATGAAAGGAACGCATTTCCCTTCAAGCTCTCTATTGACACGAATTGCTAAAACCTTCCTCACACTGGAATGCAAAAGATCAGGTGATTGGTTAACGTCGGGTTGGCAGCTGAGCAGGGGAAACATCTTCAAAACTTCCAAATATTTCCCCTATGCAGAACTCCAACTCCTTCTTCTCTGCTCTCTGCTTGTGAAAGTTTCTGTCACCTGCTCAGGAAGCAGAAGCAGTCAAATGGGATTTCGAGGGATCCAGCTACAGCATCAGTGCCAGTTAGAGGAAGCAATCAATTCCCAGGTAGTCCAGGCTTTGAAGAGAGTTTAAGCAGCTTTCCAAGGAACATGTCCAAGTGCAAAGCAACCAATTGATCTGACTCTCCAGTGAAAGAAAAGCAAGTGCAGAGCAGCAAATGCTTGAGAGAGGGAAACCTTTTTGAAGCACAGCCATTTGGGGCCGAGACCTGTTAATGTGCTAGACAGTCCCAGGAAGCGTCAAAGTGTGAGCCGTGCTCTCCATCCAGCACTGGCGTCCTGCACTTTCTGGAGGTTCTTGATTCTGTAATCAGAATTCCAACAAGCTCCTCAACAGCGTACAGATCCAAAACCCACAGACCCAGATCAAACAGCCGCCCATCTGGTTGTATCATTGTCAGGCATGCATTCTTTTCTAGTAACTGGTCCTTTCTTCCTTAGTTCAGATCAAACACAAATAACAAAATTCAGATGACTCCTAAACTCTCCAGACAGCTCTGGTGTTGCTGTAGGATGGAATACAATTGTTTTCCTTACAACCCCCCAGTTATTTCCATGTCTGTTCTGGACCTTGGGATCTCTTTTGGGAGCTACATTACGCAGAGAACTACAACAAGGCTGAGATCACCGCTGCCTCAATGTAATGCAAAGGTGAAGGCCTTTATGACAGCCAGTTTGGAAATGAATGCAGCCCCATCTTGTCAGCATCAGAGCAGAGCCAGCTCCAGATGGCTCCAAAAAGGAGCTGCTGCTGGCCAGAGCCGAGGCAGGGAGTGCTGCTGGGTGGGCTTCGGGGGAGCAGATTTAAGGAAGGGGGGAAAATACTGCTGTGCAACAGCAGCCGAGAGAGAGAGGATTGTGAAAGCGTGAGAGAAGCAGCCCTGCAGCCCCCAGGTGAGTGCCGCAGGAGGGCAGGAGGTGCTGCAGGCAGGCAGCAGCAGTTCCCCTGCGGGCTGTGCAGGGAGAGGCCCCTGGTGGAGCAGGCTGTCCCCCTGCAGCCCATGGGTCCCCCATGGAGCAGATCTCCACGCTGCAGCCCCCCCATGGGTGGAGGAGCCCCCGCTGGAGCAGGTGGATGTGGCCTGGAGGAGGCTGCGGCCCATGGAGAGCCCCCGCAGGAGCAGGCCCCGGGCCGGAGCTGCAGCCCGTGGAGAGGAGCCCCCGCAGGAGCAGGGGGTCTGGGGGGAGCTGCCCCCACCCGTGGGGGACCCGTGCTGGAGCAGTTTGCTCCTGGGGGATGGATGGATGCACCCCGTGGGACGGAGCCGTGTGGGAGCAGTGCTTGAAGAGCTGCTGCCTGTGGGCAGCCCCCGCAGGGGCAGGGAGGGACCAAGAACAGGTGGTAGAAACAAAGCATCAGGGACTGACCACAGCACCCATGTCCCATTAGCCTGCACCACTTGGAGAGAGAATGGAGATGAGAGTGGATTGGGGTAAAGAGTTTTTTTGTTTGCTTTGAGTTTCTCACTGCTCTAATCTGTTAGTTATAACATGTGGAGATTAATCATTTATTGCTTGCAACTCCTTTGCCCTGTGTCTGTGACGATACTTGTTCAGCAATCTCAACCTCTGAGTTCTTATCTCAACCTCTGAGCCCCCTTTACCTTTGAGTAGGGGGAGTGAGAGGGCAGTTGTGGTGGTGCTCAGCTGCCCAGCTAGGTGAAACCACCACAAAACACGGACAGCAGTCTAAGAAATTCATCTGCCAAAACCACAGAGGAGGCTGCAGGGGCTCCTCTCTACCAGGAGAGCAGACCTTTCGAAGAGGCACTCAGTTTCCTAACAGGTACAGTCAACCTTAACATACTAAGGAGCACCATTTCTCTAAACTCTTGCATATCTTTCTGAAAAAGGTAGTGGAAGTGGAAGCTTTGCATATTCAGTTCATTTTTCCCTTGATAAAGAAAGAAACAGGCAAATGATTTTTATTTATTTTTAATTGATCACTGATTATGTCAATAATACATTTCAAAGCAAAATATTCTGTTCAAGGACATTGTGCCAAACATTAAATCTATTTTTAAACCAGGTTTAACTTTGATTATATTACCTTATATACATACAGGTATAGATTCTCATTTCACTAGTAGCAAAATTACTCAGTACATTGCATTTCCTGGAAGATGGCAAAAATAGGACTTAAGTATCTATTCTGTTCTTCCACACACCCCAAACCAGAAAAAATCACAGGTATAGAAAGTACAATCACAACTACATGTAGTTACAGTAAGGACCTCAGAGCAAGCTAAGTCCTTATCATGGAGATGACAATTGCTTCTAGAAGTCTACATTGCAAAAATACAGTACATTCCACTAAAGAGTTTCAGGAGTTCTCACAATGCCTCTTAATCCCCTTTTGGTAATAAAAGCTTCTATGACAAAATGTATCCTTCATAAAAATGACTGGATTTATATTTCTGAGCATATATTTGAAGTTTGATGCAGTCTAAACTGCAGTCTACAATAAGCTCACCCAAACAGAGCAAGCAAGCACTCCAAGGTTGATCAAGATTGGAACTACATTTCAGCTTTGCCCCTCGTCCCTGTGCCTGGTAGCTGGAGGTACTCTGCACCGGGGACATACTCAAGCAGTGGGAAGCAAGTTCTTTCTACAGCTTTTGCAGGTCAACCACCTGCAAGGTCTTGACAGAAAAGGTCAACAGACTCAAAGCACAGGCAACTCTACAGAGCTATTTTGAACCTATTTACAAGCATTCATTACACTGCAATTGTTAAGACAATTAAGGACAGAGCTAAGAAGCAACAAAGTTTCCACATTTATGTATCCCCTGAAATATTCCTGCAAGCAGCAAAAAAAAAAGTAACCCAGCAATCCCAAAGGGCAGCTGAGATTTCAGTTATCCTCAAACTCTGCTTTGGTTCGTGCAAAATATTAATCCTCTGCATGCAGCTTAGAGACTGTCTGCATTCGCGAAGGAGCTGCTACTTTGTGCTTGGCAAAACAATTTTAGAGGGACTTTTTAGAATTAACAAGAAAATTGAGGTAAACAAGGTGTTTTTCCATGAACAGTAGTTACCCTCAGAGGTGTAAAGCCAAAGACTTTGTCACAGTTCCATGGAAATGTACTTACTCAGCACTGCTGTCGGCTTCCCATTGCGGATGTTCTGCAGGAAGCTACCATTAATTAGCAAACTACCTAAACTTTACCCAAGTGACAACAACAGAGGAACTCTACCTCCCAGACTTGGTGCCTAGGAATCAGTATTGACTCACAATATTGAGCTTAACTCTATGATTTAATAGGAATGCAAATGTTTAACTGCTCACTTTCATTTCTCTTCCCTGCCATTAAGTTCAAGGAAATCTGACAGCACTAAGAAACACCAAACAACCATGCCAAAGGCTAAAACACACTAACTTATTTCTACAACAGGGCCAAGACACCTTACTCTTCTCCATAAGGCAGGTCCTAGCCAAATGCACTCTTCACACCTATTGTCTTCTTCACAGATTTCTATTCTAAAAGAAGTTGCCAGACTCTCCAGCTCTAACAACACTAACAACCACGTAACATAACCAACCTAATTCAGAACTAGCTAGCAGAAGTCTGCCCTACCATTTCAAAGGCCCTGCTTTATAGCAACTTCTGCAAAGAAAGAAAGCCAAGCACTTGGTTACTGCCTCTGGTCTATAACCAGTCAGTAGCACTTCTAAAAGGGCTGAAAAAACAGACTACAGACCTATTTTTTGCAGGGATAGTGAGAAACAGGCCAGTAAGGGGAGAATTACAGAAAAGTAAACGGAGAATTGAAAAACAAACAAACAAACAAACAAAAAACAACAAAAACAACACCATTTGAGATGTAGGTTAGAGTCTGGATATTCTTTTCTACTCTTCACTGAATCTGTTGCTTTTCTCATTGCTCTTGCAATAAAATTGAGTAGCTTGACATGTTTAAGAACAGAGGCTGGAAGGCTGCAAAGAGATGGTATCAGTTCTTTGTCATTACAGAGAAATGAGAAACATGGGGCAGAGAGCATAGCAATCTGCTGCACGAGTCAAGGAGATGCTCCAAAATGCAAGTGCCACATTGGAATTTGGCAGACACAACTTCAACGTAGCAACACCACTTTTGATTCACCTGAACCTCAGCTTTTGCAATCAGAAGCAGATACAAACCATAGCTTTCGAGACCACCTCATTTCAACATTTCAAAATGCGTGCAATGAATAAGCATGAATGGAAAATATGCATTTTACACCCAGAAAAGATTCACTGTATCAGTTAAAATCAAATCTGTGTAATCAATTTTCCTGTAGCCTATTCTGAAAAGCTTTCCAGCCTGTGAACAGTAAGAACAGCTATAATGAAATGTATGAGTAATGGTTTGGGTGCAGTCTTCTCCCATACAGCAGCACTCAACCAATTGACGATGAAGTACAGAGCAAGAGAAAGGGTAAAGTCCTCATTCCCAGGTGGTGGTTTTTTGTTTGTTTGTTTGTTGTTTTTTTTTTTTGCTTTAACCATTTTATTTCTAAGATGAATTCAGACAGATCTACTAGACTTTTTCTTCTTCCAAATGGCCGTCTCATTTAAAAGCAACATTATGACTCAGCATAACCCTATATAAAATGTACCTTAACTTCCCTCTTCCCAATAACTAAAAAATGTTATGTATTAGCCTTAGACGATGAAGTACCTTTACTGGTCCTCATTCTGCACTACAAAACACAAAACTTCAATTTACTGTGTTCATCGCTTAAATCTTGATGATGAAATAATTTTGGTTTAGAATTTTTGTTTAACTGTGTCAGTTAGCTGTGCTGAACACAGGAATGTATAAGAAATTGGATTTTATAAGAATTGGATTTCAGTAATGCCCTGTAAGCAAAATTTAACAATTTGAAAGTTCACTGAAGTCTAACCCCTCCTAGATTCCTCACACTAAAATTCAAGCAAGTAGAAAGGAGCAGAGCAATGAATCAGACAGTTCCTCACTGAGGACCAGAGGTGACTAACCTGTAAAATAAGTAGAGGGTTCCTGTCAACCTGAATAAAGTTTAAGTACCTTGGAAGAATCCACAGCCAAATGTCTGTCTCTGTAATTTTAAAAAAGGGGCAGTCAATTTCAAGAGATCTTAGGTTCCAATTAAAACACTTGTGCTTATGTTTCCCTGCTCACTTAAAATCGCATCTAAGGCTGCTGTTCAAGCAAATTTTTGTAAGTATTTTTTTTTTTGTAAATAGGAGTGGACAAATAAAACCAGAGAAACACAGTTGTCATCCAGAAAATGCTACCAAGCATTCAATGCAGAGGAAAATTTTTCTGAAATTTAAATTCGAGAAGAGAGCAATAAAAATGTGTCCCTCAAGATTACGTTTCTTGAATGTGCTGAAAGGAACATGTTTTTTTTCTAGTCATTTTCTTTTTTTTTTCCCCTCACTAAAAGCAGCTCCCTTTGAAATGTTTTCTCTCTCAACTGTATATAGGAGTGCAGTCAGTCATTAAATGTCTGTACTTCAGCCTATATTGTATCATTTGCCTTAGAACTGTAAAAAGCCAACCAGATTTCAAACACACAAAACATACCACAAGCCTTTGATTTCTAAGGATGCAGACCACGTATGTAAAAAAAAAACCTGAGGTGTCCCAAAGGAAAAGTCAGAAAGTGAATTACCTGCTTTCATAAAGAATAAATCTAATGGGACTTAAGACTGCTCCAAAGTTGCAACTGAAATACAACTGCAACTATAAATAATACATAGCCTTCCTGATCCATAGCTGATCCTGGCTTCTGACTTCAAAAAAAAATACAGTAGCTGAATATATGTGAATATGCATACACAATCTTTCATCAGCAAAGTAGTTGACAGTGTTAGAACATGGACCAATTTGCAACTTGTGTTCACAAGTCTCTAACCCCCAGGCTCTTGGGCCGGCTCAGCAGTGGAAAACTGCATCCAAAACCCTGTTCAGGTGGCACTGAAATCCTATGTTTTTCTTTTCAGATGTTGCTGATTTTTGACATTCTCAAATCTGATTTGAGAACTGCATTTCATTACTGTACAGAACGTAATAGTCATTGGTCATCTGCATTCATTTATTTCTGCCCTACTGAAAACTGCCACCTGAACAGGGATGAGAGAACACGGCAAGTTTTGTTCTTATGTTGGGTCTCTGCTCATTTCGTACTTGGTGCATGGAAGGGGGATGACTAGAAATACAACACTACCAATACATCCCATGTTTGCACATACACCAAATGTCATGCATATCTCAAAATACAGAAGTTCAGACATGCTGCAAAAAATGTGTTAAAACTCTAAATGCTCTCTAAATGATAATAAATCATGTAGCATTCACTGACAACAAATCAAAGCAGAGTAAAATGTTTTCTCTTTTGTGCTTACACGTCAAGTTTCAGAATAACACTTTTGTCAGAGTGTCTGAAGTCCAATGGAAAGCATATTCCACTGAAATCAGATACAAAAGATACCATTTAAAGAATTAGTAAAATAAGTACTGCCTTCCAAAGGTTCATAATAAATAACAGAGCAGGAACATGCAGACTTTTAAGCCAAGATTTGTTTCTAGATTCATATGTGGAAAGTAAAGCTAAAGAAAAATCAAGAACAACCCTGGATGACTTTCCCTAAAATTGAGGTCTTTTTGGCTAAACGAGTGTTAATTTATCATAAGGAACATAGGTATTGTCAGAAAATATTATTTACAGAATGATTATCAGATTGATTACATAAAATACAGATGAAAATATACACCTTCAGATTTGAAATAATCCAAACAGACTTACTACTGATAACTAAAGCACTTTGAATAAGGTGACAGGCACGAAACATCAAAACTGAATCACAAAACTACTGAAAATAACAAATAGGGGAATGAAGAGGATAAAGCAGACATCAGCAGAAGTGGAATGATTTAGAATTGATACTAGTGTACCAGAGATCATGGAACTTCATTAAAATTCCATTTCACCATATATAAAACTGAAAAATCTTTATCCCCAGACCATGATTTCTTCAAGTACTGAGCAGCTGTTTTCTTAATGCATCTATGTAATGCTTTGTACTCCACATCTTACAAAATACATCACCACATTTAAGTGCATGATTGCAAACTGTGCTGAAATCATGGAAAAGCACTTCATAAATCATAGGTGAAAAGGTGAAATCACAACAATGAAACTCCAGTTCTTGGAAGTAGTTCAACAAAAGACGAACTTTTAGAAAAGGGACTTGGACCCCTGGTTTTCGAACTCTGACCATGCATCACTTAATTCCATGAAGATCATTTTGGCATATTGCTCATAAGGTTGTCCTGTGGCCTGAAAACAAACAAAATGTTATAAACATAACAGCACTTGGAATTGTGTGCCTTGGGAAACATCTTCAACTTTTTTGCTTGTTAACATAGTGAACAACATTAGACTACTGTGAGCATCATTTTGCAGGCACACAGCATTGCTGCCTCCAACAGATTTTGCCATAAATATTTTAAACAAAGCCAAAGCCTTGGTTTCTTTATGTTACTTCAAACTTCAGTGCAATTTTTAAGTTACTGAAACTTAGAAACTATTTTTGAAAAGAAGAGCTTGGAAAAACTATTTTTGAAAAGAAGAGCTTGGAAAACCTTTCAGCTAATAGCTCTAAAAACTAAATCCAGTCATTTCTGCAGTTGCTTCACAACAGTCCTCATAGGAATATAAAATAATGCTGACTGCAAGTGATTTTAAGTTTCAACATTAACTACACATTCCTGACCGTGCATTTACCTCCATGCTCAAAGGAAGGGAGATGACCAAAGAAGATTCCTTGCCTTGTCACAGCAGCCCTACCTCTGGGTCAGTCCAACCCCCATGGTTAGTAAGGACCCAATCCCACATTATGGGATGGCCATTGTAACAGGCTCTTTCTAAAAGGAAAGGGAAGCTTCAAAGGCACCTGCCAATGCCACTCCCTTTCTACTGCTTGGCTTTTGCCAGATGTAGCCCTTAAAGGACTTGTGTACTGCTTTAACTCAGGGTCGTAGAAGAGAAATTAAAGCTGAAGAGGAAAATGATTCAAAAAAGCTTGTATTCTGACATCGAGCAGTTAAGTGGCTCACAGAAAACACCAATAAACTAACACAAAGTTGAAGTAAACCACACTGCCAGGAACAGGAAAGAACAGAGGGGAGAAAAAAAAATGATGTCTTATTTCTCTGTTATGGCTGCAACAAAACAAAGGACTTGAACAACTGCTCACTGAACTGCCAGCAAAAATTATCTTAAAATTTAAACTAGGTATATTCAACGCTTATCTTTATACCTAAAACACAGCCTAGAGCACCGACTCAGAAAAAGATGCTACCTTCATATACTTGGAGACTAACAGAAACAGCAAGAGAACGCATAGGATATTTAAAAACCAGTGGAATGCTGTGTTCATTGCACTTTTTTCAACAGCTAAGTAATCTCTTGTAAAGGAGGTTCAACAGGTTCTTCCCCGCCAGTTTTGCTGTGGCAGTCTTTGTTGTCATATACTGGTGAATAGCCCTGAAAGTCCTAAAGACTCAGCTGGTAGAAACAAAGCAGGGTCCACCAGTTAGCACTGAGTATGCCACTACGCAATCAGAATCCAGCATAACCAAAAATTTAGTCATTAGTGACATTCAGGGGATCTTATTTGATAACATTGATTTGCTGAGTTCTGTGCTATGTCAGAGTGACAAGAAAAATCCTGCAGTACCTGGATGTAGTAAGGCATCAAATTCAGAAGACAATGGAAGAGAAGTAAAGAGTACTTAGGATCCTGATCAAGAGCCAACACCGTATCATCTCTCAGAGACGTGCCCAGTACAGTAAAACCAGTTTCTATTACTTCTGTCTGAAGGAGAGAAGATTAGAGGAATACACTCACCTTATCTGGATGAACTACCAGCACTGCTTTCCTGTAGTACTTCTTCACTTGTTCGGGTGTTACTAGATCTGCTATGCTAACAGGTTTCCACTTATTTTCCCCTTCCCAAAGCACTGTATGAAGAGTTGATATTAATGCTCTGATATTTCTCTCTTTTCCTTCAATCCATTCAAGAATCTGGGAAAAACAGAATGCATAAAAACTGAATGCAATAGTGCAAGCATTCTCTGTACACAGTCTGAACTCTCACTCTTTCTGTACAAGATTGGGACCCAAGTACAATTGTCTTGCTGTATTGATCTCCCAGGTTCAGTTGTCTTACACTACATTCTTCTTTCTTGCATCCAATACCGTTATCAATCAAAAGCTGTATTTTGCATCTGTCCCTAGACAATAGCTCATTGTTATTGATTTACTACAGAAATTCTGTCATTGGAAAAGACATTGATGAGTTAGTTACATATTACAAAACCCTGTACAATTCATGACAAGAGAATAGAAAATAGTACTTAAAAACATCTGTTACAATTACGTTAACTCCTTCTCAGGGTACAACATGAATTTCTTCACTAACATTCTCACCTGAGTTATATACAGAAGTTTCAGATCTCATATGCTAATAGTTTGCTTAAGCAATTTGCAAAAAAAACAAAGCATTCTTTCAGGTATCTCCATGAAACTTACTTAGAATAACTGTTCATTTAATCGACTTTGTAACAGTAATATTAAAATATATAAATGTATTAATATTTTATCATCAATAGACCAAGAAAATCTGAACAGCTGATCAGATAAGACTCCTAGTTGTACAGCCCATCTCTAGAACTACTTCTTTTCATAATTTCTTAGGACAGCAACAGAACCAGCTAACTTGCAAATGCAAGTGGTCACCCTGAAGACATCTATTCTCACTTGCCTGTTCTTTAAGGATAGTTGCACTATCAGCTTAATCCATCTTTACTAAGGAGACATTTTGGAACTCTACAAATTAAGAACAATTTTGGCTTCAGAAAGTCTATTTTAGCAAGGTACATTCTTAAATTTTCCACACTCAGCTAATAGAAATAGGAACTTGCATTCCTTCCACACACTTTGTGTTCTTGTCCCTGCTGCTTCATTACTAGCTAACTCTTGTTCGTGCTAATTAACTTCATGGTAGTATGAGAGTCATTTTAATTTAAATACAAATAAAACTTCATTTATCTGCTTTATTAGTTTTTTATCGTATGATTTTGCTTTGTTATTGGTAGTTCAAAGCATACACTCAGATTTGCATTTGAATCAAAATCTGTCAAACCAACCTTCAGTTTCAAGGGGTCCATATCTTTAGACATTTCTTGCTTTCTCATCTCAGCAATAGTTTTTGGTCCTTTTTTATCAGATTTAGCTGAAAACCCTTGATTAGATAAGAGATCCTCAAAGTCATTTGCTGAAACTTTTGGCTTCTGACCTATGAAAGGAAAAAAACATTAAAGTTATATGGGAGAACACATTAACTGGAGAAATGTACTGCATGCACTTAGCTACACCTGCATGACTTTACTCTTCAGCAGCTAGATAGACTCCACAAGACTAACAAAAAGACAAACAAAATGGGTCATTGGCAAGTTTTCAGTCCAGAAGAATAGAACCTCACACATACTCATGATGTCCTCTTTTTTTTCCTAAAGAGGAGTAGATATGAGGAAGTACACATCTAGCTATTCATGATTTTGGAAATTGTTTAATTTTTCCACTATAGAGTCATTCTAACTGCTGTACAACAGCTTTTCAAATGACTGAATATTTAATGGTCTAGTCAGAAATGTACTGTACATTTAAGTATGTTGAAGTTTATGCACAATAACAAAGGAAAAAAATATCAACAAGAACAGTTACAGAACTGTTATGAAACCCACAAATTTTTGAGAACTGCAGAACAACTGAAGTTGGATGAGACCACTGGATGTCATCTAGTCCAATTCACACCATTTCAAGTTAAATGAAGTACTTGTTCACTACCATTGAAAGGGAGGCATTATCCTGTACCTATAAATCAGGATTTTCCTTCCCCTTCCCCTCTTCCAAAAGGCTAACACAGACAGATGACACGTCCATCATAAGGGACTGGTTCCAAGAATGAATTTGTCTGCTCCTTACCCCTACTCTGCTCTTTGAAACAGTGATTTGTAGTACGTTTAAGTTCATCAATTTTCCTTAAGACTAGCTACTACTCTTTAGCTAGGGAAAGGGCTGCATCCTTTTGCCTGTTGAGTAATGTTATTAACCTACCTCTCTTCCCTGCATTCATGCAAATTTACCTTTTGAATTCAATGATAGAAAGCCAGTACCCGTTTGGATGAGACTACAGCCCTGAGACTTTATACCCAAACATGCAAATGGGCCGTGGTCAGGTTGTCTGTGATATTCTAGTGTAGCCTTACAACAGCAGGACACTAGATTTGCCAAACTCTCTTCTACTTTATACTAGATATGACCTAAATGTAAACAAATAAAAAGACAAAAGGTAAAAGAGTTTGAGGCTAACAGCACACCTAACTTCACACAGGCCATTATAAGTAATGCCCTCAGAAAACTTACCAAAGCTTGGGGTTCTGACTCCTCTTTCTTCTCGTCCGCCAATAACACCAAAGTTCCCGCTATAATTGGGTTTAGCTGTAGTGCTGGGTTTAGTCTGGGAGTGCCACAAAGTACTTTGTGGTTTTGTGGATTTCTGCCACTGATTTCCTGACTTCTGAGATGGAGCAGCCTTCTGACCAAACCCGCTACCAGAGAATCCACTCATGGAGGAGCCTAACAATAAATAACGAATTAGTTGTTCAGCTCAATATGTCACTTGCAAGTAAGAAACTTTGACCTTAACATTTAACTACACAGTTTACAGTGATATCACTATACAAGAGAAAGCATAAAAAAACACTGGGCTCGTTAACAACTTGCATAGCAGTAGCCGCGGCCACGACAAAAACTCTTCCAGCCTTACCTCAAGTTCTCAGCTGTCAATTTTTAGCAGAAGCATTCACTCATCTGATCAGACAGGCACGTGTATTTGCCAAAAAATAGTTCAGTGACAGCAGTTATGCCTACCAATTTGCTACATTTCAACATCTATTAATGGGTATCAGAGGACATTAAAAGCTAATTATGATCAAGAAAACGTGATATATTGAGAATACTTTCAAATGAATGCTTTCTAAGTTTCCTCTTTAGTGATTTCATGGACTATTATTTAAGAAAACTCAGAAGATAACGCTATAGTAATCAGCATATGTTATGCAGCACAGGAAAAAAATACTGGTCATTACAATATCTCCTGAAAACTTCATAGCACAATCCATAGGCTTGTTTTAACAGTACAACATTGTCTTGATTATTTAGATCCCATTTCCCTTCACTTAGCTGGTGTAGATACAGCTGCTTAGCAGCCTCACCAGCTACAATCCTTGGGAAGAGCATCCAGGACTTTTTTTCCACTCTACAATACTCACTACAAACAAATTAAGCACAATAAAGCTCCAACCTTTTAAATTCATTATTCAGCTTTTTGTCTCACTAATGAGAATAAACTTGAATTTTATTCTAAGCCAACCCACCATTAGACCGCCCTTATCTGACCTTGGAGACATTTCTAGAACTCAGTTCCCCTGAGAAGTTACAGCATAAGATGTCTCGGCATATATCAATAAGAAGAAAAAATAGCATGATGGCTGAATTTAGATGCATCTATATTCTCTGTAAGGGAAACGTGTCACACCACACTTATGGCAACCTAAAGCAGAATGAGACCTCTTCATCTTGGAACAATTCCCTAAAAATGACAAAAATTCAACACTAGCATCACTATATGGATGGTTACACAACTGAAGTCAGACAGGAAGTCTGAAGTTTAATATGACTGAAATACTGACACGTCAAATATGGAAAGACTTCTTTTATTACTTGGTTTTGAATGACAAACTTATAATCCTGTCTCATTAGTTGAAGAAAGGTGAATTAATAACTCCACTTATTTTCTTACCCAGCTGCTGATCATTAGAAATTAACTTTCGGTTCAAACATTTCAGGCCAGTTTAGACTTAGCTGATCTTGTTTCTATCTTTCTATTCCTTTATTTGTCCTAAAAACTCAGGAAAAAAAACACAAAGCTTGTCTGGCTAGGCTCAGCAATATAAACTCAGTTTTCTCTTTCAAAACTAGTTCCTTACATTTCTGTTCTTCTGGTAACATTTTAGTAGCTGCTGTGCATACTAACAGCTTACACAAAGAATGAATCCCTAAGGCCATGTGCAAGATAGCTTGCTATATGTCTCAATACCTCACCTGGTAAAACCTAGTATTGCAATACATCACCTGAGAGAACTCCCTCTGCAAGAAGTGCTTTGAGTTGTCCCAATCTTTAACTTGTGAAATTTACTGAAAAATCCCTGCTACCTAGGTACATTACCTTGTAGAGTAAGAAATAATCTTATTGTACTACTCTCTTTCACATAATTCTATATTGTTTCAGTTATGGCCTACCAATTTTTCCTTATAGGGCAAGCCAATGCCTCACTATCAGCACCAACTTTTCAACAGCACATTCCTACTCTCTTGAAGAAGATCATTACTAGAAAGTGTGACTAAACCAACTATCACAGGTCACTGTTGGTATCTTACTATTATCTGCATACTATTACTAGCTTTAGCTATTGTTTCCTTACTGTGATATAATATTCCCAATTAAGGAGTGTTCACTCTCATAACATAAAAGTCATCATTCTAGAAGTGTTAAGTCCAAAAACTCCTACAGAAAGACAGTACTAAGTCTAAACTGCAGTTTTTACACTTCCCTGAAGATTCATTTCAAGCCTGAGGCTAACTAGCCCAGTTACACCTGGCCACCTCCTTATGCAGTCCTTTTTTCTAATGAAAATTAAATGATTCCACGATTAAACTTCCAGTTAAGTTGGAAAGTATAGTCCAAATGTTCACCTAGTACTGTCAGGTCTACCACTAAACCATGTCCCTAAGCACCACATCAACACATCTCTTAAATACCTCCAGGGATGGTGATTCAACTGCCTTCCTGGGCAGGTTGTTCGAATGCTTCACAACCCTTTGAGTGAAGAATTTTTTTCTTAATATCCAGTGCAAACCTCTGGCACAACTTGAGGCCATTTTGTCTTATCCTGTCACTTGCTGCTTGGGAGAAGAGAGTGGCCTCCCCCTTCCCCCAACTACAACCTTCTCTGAGGTAGTCAAAGAATGATGAGGTCTTCCCCAAGCATTCTTTCTCAAGGCCAAACAGTCCCAATTCCCTCAACTGCTCCCCAGACTTGTTGTCTAGACCCTTCACCAGATTCATCGCCCTAAAATGAGTTGATCTGAATCCTAAAATCACTATAATTCCCTCTACTCATTCAGTGTACAATCATACCTGCGTCTCCAAGTCTAACATGAAATGAGTTTACTCACCCTGCCTATAGTGTTAAAAAGTCCATATTTACCTGAACTATTGAACTAGAATAATTCTGTAAATTGTTTCCTGCAGAACAGCTTTATTGGCACCACTTCAATACTAGAATTTTGCAAGGCAGCAGAGAAGCCAGCATTGTATATTACCTTGCATTTAAATAAAGTAATTTCACCAAGAGGTTATTCAATTCAATATATAACACCAGCTGCCAAGGCAACAGAAGCTTCTGTCAGCTTCAAGCTAAGGTAAAAGCATATTTTTCTGCAACTCAATAGCTATAGGCTGTTCCAAATCGCTCTTCTTAGACTCTTGGCAGCTAGTCACATTTAACGGCAGCCAATTGGCCATTAGCTATGGCAGTGTGGTACTGAAAAGAAAGTTCTTTACCCTGCCCTTATTTTTTCTGCTGTTTGTGAAAACACCTGAGTTTGGGTGAATGTAAAATCTTGGGACAATTGTTACTCTGGGTTGTGTCCCATCTTACATAGCCATCTTGTTCACACAACTGCAAGTTGGCAAATCTTTATAATACTGATGGAATTGGTGTAGGAGTATTTACAGCAAGCACAAATCAGACCCAGACATGACAAATTTGAGTAGCACAACTATACAAACCTACTTATTTCTAAGAAAAGTACTGAACTGACAGTTCTTTTTTACCCTTTATTTTGGGCCTAATCAAGAATTTAATTTGGCTTCCTATTTTATATCTTTCACAGTACCGTATCAAGCAAAAATATATTAGAAACCCTATGATCAGTTACTGGAGCAGAGACAAATAGTTTCTCTTAACTTCTCAACTAGAAGTCTCAAGAATGAAGTGTGTAAAACATTTCTAAATCACAGCTGAAGTTACCTTCTTAAACATAATTGTGCATATTTCACACAATCTCTATAAAGGTACGATTGCTTCTTGTTACACATCTGCTCACAGGAACTGCCTGAAGCTGGTTGTTACCATTTTAAAGAAAACTTTACATAAGCTATCATTCACACTTATTGGAACAATAAGCAAATCAGAAACCAGAGAAGCATTAAGTTCAGACAAGGCCTTACCTGGAAGACCAGATCCAAGATTGGCAAGATCAGCAAAAGGGTCAACGTTCTGAGACTTAGACTGGTTTAAGGCTGGACCTGAAGACACACCGGACTGACTTCCTGTGGTAAGAACTGGACTTGTTTAATATGAAAACACATCATATACTTGGTTTATTTAGAAGCTGAGAAAATTAATAGAAATGTAATTTCCAGGTAAGCCTCCCTAGTATTCTGCTAGATGACATCTTTTACCAGAACAAGAATCACCATTACTATAGGCAACTGACACTATTTAGCTCCTATACATTGAACTTATTCTGAAAAACTACTCTAGTGCCTTAAAGAGGCCCTTTGAGCACAAGAGCATAGAGTCCTTTAAGCAACAAAGCAAAAGGCAGGCAGACATGTTCAGCAGTTTCAGGTGACTGAACTGACCAGGTCCGGAGTATTTCTTATCCCCTCTAATGGGAGACTTTTTTCATCATACCTTCAACAGCAGACTTCGTTTGTGCTGATGGTGTAAAGACAGATCTGGAACAATCTACCCCCAAATCCCATCCACCTAAAAGATCTGGGTAGCTTGTAGAAGATGACATTTTACTTGTCTCTAATTTCCCTACAAAAGAAAAAAAATCCATGATTATTCTTTTAAGAAAACTACCACAATAACAAGTCTTTTGCCAGTACTGCTACAGCTTTACCACATTGTCAGCTGGCCTGCTACATGGGTTGCTTAGGTATCTCCATAGTAGTAATGTGCTCTTAAATGGGACTCAGAAGGGTTTTCACACCAAATTCTTTCATTTGTATTTCAAACATCCACATACTTCAGAGAATTCAGTCCAAAGGTAACACTATGACCTTAACAGCTTAGGTCTCATAGGCTGAAGAAATATCTAATGGATGGCTTCAGAGCATGCTCCTGTTCCTGCCAATGCAGCAGGTAGCCAGAAAGCAGTAGTGTATTTGCCTCTCGGTGCTCAGAATCCCAGCTATCTGCTATATAGCAATGCTACTGGTTACAGAAGTACCTAAGTGCCTATTCATCAGTTCAGAAATTTTACATACTATATGCCATTCCCAAAATGTTAATTGGGCCTGAAATTAATAATTAGTATTAATATTTAAGTTAGAAAAAAAATTGGCTTATGATCTCTGCAGTTATATGTTTTCCACATGGAGATGAGACAGTTTACAACCACTTATTGAAATAAATTTTCCTGTGATAAAACCACAATGAAAGAAATAACTACACATTAAGCTTTCTTTATGTAACTTCTCATCTGTAGAAGAAATCCTTTAATCACAGAGAACAACAGAATTTCTTGTGAACCAAAAGGCTGGTTTAATATGATGTAAGTTTTCCAAGCTCATTTCGAGCCCAACTGAGAGCACAATCACCACAGAAAACAGTTCCTCCTCAGAAGACGACTGCACTGGTCACTCAACTTTCTTTTGATCACATTTCATGCCTCCTGCTATTTTTTGATCAGATCAGTCCATCCTCACATGGGGAAATACATTCCTGCCCAGACTTCCATCAAAGATGACCTGCTTCCACACCCAAACAAACCAATTCTGTTCTCAGAAGCACTCACTGAACATTTATTTAGTGAGGAAGAATACACACTCTTTCATCTACAGAAAATTTTGTAAGTGTGGCCACTTAAGACTTAAGAGCAGGTGATCTGTTCTTAAGTAAATGCTAATCCCGTGTCCTACCTTCTCTCTCAAGCAACTGAAAGTTTTCACAGAAAATCAGATTTCCTTCCAAAACAGTTTTAGTAGAACTGATCTATATATTTTTATATTATGGGCCAGAATGCCTTAACAGACCACACATTGTTTAAAAAGTATATTTTCTATAAATTAAGTTTATATTTTAAAACTCCAGTAAATTTCAAGCATCGTTGAGAAATAAGCCTAAAATTTTAGTTCTTGAATTAATGTTCACTGAAGAGCATTCCTCCTCACATCTATAGAGGTTAGTAATTGTTTACTACCAAAGGAAAGCCTATCCATTGCTTCAGAATTTGATTTGACACTCGCTACTTCTCCAAAAATAGATTCACCATATCTTGTCACTGCAGCTTATTTTAAATGAGCACTGACATTACCAATTTATTTTTAATGAGTTTTAAATTGTTCCTCACTTTAATGACCTGATGTTTGCACTTTCTTCTGCGCTCTCCACACAATTTTTCCAAACCTGTCATTTTTGAGAATGCTCTCCCCTGCAATTCTCCAATTGCTAGTTAGCATGTCTTCTCAGTCATATGCACTCCTTCATATTAAAAGCATTAGAACTACTAATATTCCTCATCTTCTGGTTAAAATTGATACTTGTGACTGGATGGAATGCTAAAGCCTCTAATACGTAATTTATTTCAGCTAAACACACAGAAGAGCTGTCACTTAAAAGGTAAACTTAAAGAAACATGAAATGTTAACCCAGTTTCTCCACTTCCACAGTTTTTATATCTTGCATAGCAACAGTTTCAGAAACCGATAAATATTGGGAAATGCATAACTGTAGTCTGAAGAGAAAATGGGTACATTTGAAGTATATTTAGCATATATTGACAGAAACCTCTAGAAAATACATCAAAATAGTAGACAGGCTACTGCATTTACCAGGGTACATTGTCACCATAGTCAAAAGACAAAGCACAAACACTAAGCACAGAAGTCAGATATATGAAAATATCTTTTTCTTCCACACTTGCTTAAATGTTACAGATAGCTGAACATACTGATGGTCTCCTTGAGGTTGCAAGTAAACATTTAAAGAGCTGAAATTTTCATTTGTGTATTTTTTTTCAACTTCAATTTCGTACAAAAAAGGGTTCTGTCATGTAGGGATTGGAGCACCTGTCACATGAGTAAAAGGATGAGTGTGCTGGTATTGCTTAACTAGGAGAAAAGGATTAGGGATGAAGGACCTTCTTGAAGTGTGTAAGTGTATACACTTAAAGGATGAAATAATGATGACAGACCCAGACTCTTCTCAGCACTGTCCACTGGAAGGACAGGAGGCAGTGGGCACAAATTGAGAAACTTGTAAAGAACTGCAGCACAAGAGAAGGACCTATGTTGGAGCAGTTCATAAAGGCCTGTATCCCATAGGAAGGACCCCATGTGGGTGAACAGCTCTTCTGAGGAAGAAGGAGCAATAGAGGGAACAGACCACAGTCCCTATTCCCCATCCCCATGTGCCAGAGTGGGGAGAAGGATGCTCAAGAGTTGAGAATGAAGGAATGACATCAAGGGAAGTAGGGTGGTGGGAACGTTTCTTTCAATATTTCTCACTATCCTACTTTTTTTTTTTAATTAACAATACATTAAATTAATCATTCCCAAGTTACTGTTTTGCCTATGACAGTAATTGCTACACGACCTTTGTCTTTATACTTCAACCCATGAGATTTTTCATCTTTTCTCCTACTGTCCCCCTGAGAAGAGGGAGCAAAAGCACCATTCTGGGTATCTGGTAATCAGCCAAGGTTGACTCACAGTCTCAGGGCACTTTCTTGTAAATGAAGGGAAATAAATCCTAGACAGTGAAGAAATTTTAGAAGTCACTGCCCTCTGAGAACAGACAGTAAGATATTTTCAAAGTACAACCACTGGTAGACATACAGGGGTCAAGTTTTCTGTTATTTGAAATACTAAGTTTCAATATCGAATTCTAACCATGTACACCCCCTTCACAAATGCTGCCATCCTTCCAAGAATACCTGTCCAGGTCTGTAATCTTTCGGTTTGCATGATGTTCCCACGCTCTTGCTTTTAATAGTGATGGATAAAAATTTAGCTCTACAAATTCGACTTTTGTGAATTTAACTATTGGCTAACACCACAAACAGCAAGACCACGTACACGCCCCTTTTCTCTGAAAATCAAATTTAAAAAGCAACACATTTGGCTCTGCCACTTTGGTTTTGTAAAAGCGTGTTGCTTAGAAGATCCATTTAGTAACACTTAAGACGTAACATGCTGAAGATGGAGACAAGGGAAGACCCAACATATTACAAAACTTTGTTTAATAGTAAATAGATTTTAGAATAAACACACGAGGAAAAGGTTCACCAAGAACACTCAGAAATCAAATGAAGCAAATAGGATTAGAGTATTACATAATGTATTCCGTAAGTATATTATCAGGTCAAGAAGGTCCAAGCTAGCCTCTGATTGCATTTTAAGATCTTGCTGTACTTTAATTTCCTTGAACCACTCACTCCTTTTCACAGGTTTTCAGAAAAACTAATAAATGAACACACTCAAAATAGTATTGTCATCTAGACAGAATGTTTGCAAGTGTTTGTGTATCATCATTTTTAAGAGCTCTTGGAAGAAAATTCAGCTCTTGAAAGGTTAGCAATGCTGGAAATAAATATTAGAATCACATTATATAGGAAATCCTTGCAACTTGGTGGTACATGCGTATCTGTGTCCCCGGAACAGGGAGCTTATTAAAACAGTCACAACAAGTGGACCTATTAAGACACTAATCCACCCCAGCTAAGGCAAAAGAAAAAATACACAAAGCAGCAGAAACTGTTGAGAAACAATACCAGAAGTGCACTTACCAAAATTCAAGAGATCTGAACTGGAAGAAACCAGAAGTGTATTACTGTTAGAAAGAAACGTATTAGGAGTAGATGTTGAATTTGAATTAAGCGTTTCTCCAAAGAGGTCTGCACTAGGTAGGGATAGATTCTCAAAACTTGATGACATTGTGAACAGGCCAAAAGGATCAGCTAAAAAAGAAACAGAAAATAAAATTATGACAAGTTTTAGAAAAAAGTACAAAACTTTATTACTCCAGGGACAAGGACAAAAGCAGAGTTTATGTTGGCAAATTAAGCAGCTCTGAATTTTTGTAGCAGATAGTCACCATTCTGTCTTTGCCTTTAGACACTGGTACTTTCATGTTGGTATAGAAAGTTTCTCAGCCATACGCAGTTAAAACAGCTATGTCCTCAAACACAAATCCTTAGCAAAGCTGCATATATTCAATCATAATGTTACTTTCCTCCATGCAAGACATACCTTAATTTTGAGTTGCAATCAGTTGCATATAAACCAAAAAAAATTACATTTGTTAAAAAGTGATCTATAATGCCAGGCCTCTAAAGAATTTAAACAAAAACTAGACTATTAAACTACTGAAAAAAATCAAGAAAAGCATTCATACTACTGCTTTGACTTGAAGGCATTGTTGACTCCAGGGTAGAAAGTGCGTCAGCTCAAGAATAAAAGCCAAAAGGAAGCAAGACTTTCAACAGGTCCTTAGTGATCACAGTGAGGCAAAAACTAATTGGAAGAGTATTTATATACAGCATGGGATAACACGTGACAGTTGCGTGAATCATGGCTTGAGATCTTCCTGTTACTGCTGCCCTCTAGGGTCAAAATCCTTTGGAGCCCAGGGACTCCTGCCAGATTCACTCAGAAGCTGAAAAGAAATAATCTTCCCATGGTGCCCTAATGCATCCTGAGGTGCTGATCACATTTCTCAGGTCTCGGCAACAGTTCAAAAAGCAAATGTTGAGTTCTCGTGTAGAAACTACCTTATTGCAGCACAGCACATGCACAAAACCTCAGCTACAAGTTTGATGTGCAGGGGGAAACTCAAGTGGCTTCATCTGCTCACTTCTGTAATACTATTCAAACGTAGAATGATATATATAAATTACCACTGCTCACATTTTTGAAGATGATATAAAAAAGCTTCTTTCGAAGGCTTCTGCCTATGTTTAAACTGGTAAATTAAGTGATTTGTCATTTACCATAGTAACACAGTTCAAGAGTGAATTACTTCAGAAGAAATTTTTGAAGTCACCTAAAAGCCCTAAAATCACATTTTACCTTTGCGCAAATAAACTAAAGCTTGTAATAGTTACCCTGATTGACTAATATTCCTAAAACTCTTACTGCACATTCAGACCAAGCATTACTATTATCAAAATTTAGTCACATGTTGAAGTGATAACAATGCACTGGAAAGATCTCTACATTAAAACATTGTTTTAAATGCAAACTAGATAGAGTTAACATGCTCCTTCCAGACATAAAACTTGCCATCATCATCAGTAAAAGCAGCAACAGCTTTTAGCAGCAGCATTATCACACTGTTTTCAACAGTAATCTACAGGATTTCCAGTTGCCTATCAGTCTTATCTGATTAGCACTCAAAAAATAACCACGGCCTTTTGACCTACACAGCACAGCTATACACTACATCTAGTATAGCTCTACATAAAGTGAATGTATGCACTTACTACAATTCTCAGCCTGAGCAAGAGCAGCGATTTACATACATGATCTAGATCCTTTTCTAGATCCGTAACACCTGCATTGGAAAGTTATGGATTCTTTAAAAATGGTGAATTTGCTTTCAACTCAAAACCTGATACTTTACTGTTTACATGGTTTGGAGGTAATAGGATATTGATAACATAAAAGGCATGGATAGTGTGCATCAATTTGTCTGTTTCATGCATTAAAAATACCTTTCTATTCAGATTCTTGCCATAGACCAACATGTCTTCAGTGTACATATCAAACATGTTAGCTATGTTCCAACCACAACAGAGGCAACAGTTATTACCTGCTGCCAGTTGAAGAGTACTGAGATTAACTTTACACACCTGATGCTGAAGTCATCTCCTGAGCAGCATCTGAACACTGAGACTGCTTGCTGTAAAAGAAAGATGTTCCTTGTCCAAGAAGATCTCCAGTGGGCTCTTCTGCAATCTGTGATGCGCTACCCACAAACAGATCGTTCAACAGATCTGCATTACTTGTTGAAGTGCTTGTTTCTGAGATAGGTTGTTGCTGTTCTTGTGAAATATCAGAGTTCAATCCCAGTAAATCTACATTCTCTTCAGTGAGAGGTTTTTGTGATGAGGCAGATGAAGCTTCAAAATTGACTTCAAAAGACAACTCTCCTTCCTGAGTACCAGAATCTCTCTCATCAACAATTACCACCTTTTCTTCACTTGGAAATGCGGGGAATTCTTCATCTGAAGGATCACTCTCTTCTCTCTCATCAGACAGTTGAACATTATCATTTTTGGATGAATTATCGTCTGGTCCACTTTCTGGACATTTTCCTTCTTAAAAAGAAACAAGAGATAACAGCAAAAGATTAACAGAATTCTGCCAAACAAAAATGTCAGGCTTATTGATTTCATGTGGTTTCTGCAATCCCTAACAAACTGTTGGGTATCACCTCCTTGAACAGGGCAGGCAAAGGGGCACCTCACATTCTACTAGTTCAAATTAGACAATTAACAGAGGAGTTCTCCAGCTACAAAGCATTAGAACAAGACAACTATAATGCATGTTCACAAAAATGACAAACAACTCTACCATACTTGCTACTCTAAAAGAGAAGGTACTACACATGCTTTCAAAATGGCACTGACTTAGACAATCTCAACTCAGGACATCATACCACTTATGTCTTAGAAAATTATTCAATAACTGTTGCTCCACTCTACAACAACATTCAATGTCAGCATAATCAGTTACTGCTATGTTTGCCAACAGAGCAGAGCTCAGAAATAGGACTTATACATGCACTATAAAGTTACATTTTCTCAGTCCATACATGTTGATCTGGACCCCACTGGTTGGTCTATGTTTCTTCTGTTCCTCAGCCAGGCCTAAGCGGGGTTGTCAGAATATAACTACTCCCATGAAGATGTTTAAGTTTAAAATTGTTAAATGCTGAACTACACTTTTCATTGTAAGTTATGAGCAATAAAAAAAAAAAAAACAAACATTAGTATTTAACCAAATGAAGTTGAATTAACACTTTCTAACATGTTAACATGCAGAGTTCACTCTTTAAATAGCCTTTGCTCATGGCCTGGCAACATAGTGAATTTCACTGAATAAGGGGGGTATAAGAAACAACTATAGTGCTCATTGAAAAGTATACAAGAAAACATAAATAGTTACTTCAGAGAAAAAATACCTTTCCAATCCAGAGAATGAAAGAAATTATTTGCATCAGTACCACTACTATGTGAGGATTCTGTCTCAGTTAGGGCGCTTTCTGAAGACTGCTCCAGTTGGGATGCTTCCGCTTCATATTGTGCAGTTGAACCTGGCTGTCTAGGCAGCTCTGGTTTCCCTAAAAGAAGATAGATTTATAATTTATAAGCCAGAACCCTTAGAGAGAAGCTTCTAAAACTCAATCCTGGTCACAGCAGCTGGTACTTGACTGCTACAGTAAGACAACTGTCCTGAAGTATTATTCCACAAAGGCAAAACCTCCCAGGTTTGAAGCTGTCATTACTAAGCCTGCTTCAACTGCAAAGGCTCGTAAGACCCTATTTTAAACTGCATCGTTAATGTATCAGACTCACAGCAAAACACTCAAGTATCCTATTTACATTTTTTAAAAATACTTGTGCTCAACAGCTCACTTGTACCACCTATCCCCTAAAACAGGCAGGAGCTATGAACAGCATCTGCAATAGCTTATATAAGGAACAGAATATCAAGAAAGATCAAGTGCAGATATAGAAAAAAAAGAGTATAATGCTAGAGAGTAATATGGAATTGTTAACAAGCATCTCAAAGATGTTAAGTAATGCACTGTGTTGCTATCAGCTTCTCCTTATAATGCTTATTTGACTGAGATCAGACTTCAAATGACTCTTGTATTAAAAAACTGATTTGGACTGAATTACCTACAGTAATACCATCTCCCTCCCCCCCCCCCCCCCCAAAAAAAAAAAAAAAAAAGGATTTCCTCAAGACAAGCCAAGAATTCCCTATGTCAATGAGTGTTCATCTACTGCTTGAAAAGAATGGGATGAATGCTTGGGAGAAAGCTGTTTGTCTAAATCCAAACATCAAGTCTGGTAGAGCACTTTTTCCCTTCCTCCCACAAACTCAGTTGTAACAGATGTTGAAAAAATAGTTTCTGTATGTTTCAGAAAACATACATGAAACATCATGCTTAATGTAATATCGTAAATTCAATCTTAATAGGGCAAGCTTTATAAAGAAAGTTCATAATACAGAAGAACGCAAACACTCTTCTTGCAAGTATTAAAAAAAAAATTCAATGGTATTTGAAACCTTCTATGAATAAGAAAGTGACTTGAAATGCAAGTTTATAAATCGAAAGGTCAAAAGTAATTCTCATTCTCATTAACAAAACATCTTGAGTGAGCTGAGAGCAGTGTTTAATCATAGTTTATATTGATAGTAAAAGTCTTAAGTTAAACAAAAAATGACCTAAATTGTGGTATGAGCAGAACATATTCTGCAGGAAATAGGACAGCAGCAACTAATATCTATCAAGAGACATGGAATTAGAACATACAATATTAAAATTAGAGAGTAAGATCTCATGTATGGTGTACCAAAATCACAAGCTTTTTATAGGGGAGGCGTGGTCAAGGCTTGGAAGCCTTAATGAAAGTGTCAAAACTGTAATTACTGATTCCAGAAGAAGATACTGAACAACATTAAATGGAATTAATACAGACATTTACAGATGAAGCACACATGCAATATTTAAATAGTTAAATATCTGATGGATGACATGAGGAACTACTGACAAATTGAACATCAGTTACTAAATTAATTGGTTATATATACGATGAAAACATTGATAACATTTTTAGGTAGGACTATTTACCAGAAAGACTGAAATAATTAAATTATAATGATGCCAATTTAGTCAAAGATAGTTCTTTCAAGACATTTTGTCTACAAATCCTGACTGTCAACATTCCATTTGCTAAAATCCCTTCAAATAGCATATTCATAACTTTAAAACAAGCAAGTGTAACAGCAGTGGATGTCAGATAAGGATAATTATAATCCTTATATAATTAGAGGATAATTTATACTCCTTCATACAATGCAAATTTTTTGAAATTATATTTATAAAAAAAAAAATTCCTTCACTAAAAGGAATATCAGAAACTAATCAGAATACATCCTCAACTGCTAGGTTATTAGAAACTTCATCAGGTTCTCTAGTTCAAGAGGTTCATTACCGAATTTTGACAAAATCTCTTGTTGTTCCTCTCGGGTAGAGAAAAGAATCTTGGGATTCAGTCCCTTTATATTCATGTTATCCCATGGTGGCTGCTCACAGCTAGGTCTGTCTCTGGGCTCCACCTCCACTTCCAGATTGACTTGAAATAAATCAGGATACTTCTCTTGAATGTCGCAGGCATCCAGATCATACCTGCAAAAGTGTATGCAAGTAAATTCTTAAGACTATGTGCTAACTGGATTAAATTATAGTAGCTCATGACAGAACTTCAAGGCACTAAAGTATGTATAAGGCTTAAAGTATGCTGTACTTGTTTACATTTTTCATAGATCTTCAACAAGTAGTACTTAGGTAAGGAAAATATTTGTTGCATTTATTCAATTTATTGAAAAATTATTGAAGAAAGCCTTTCCTCAGCTGTTAGTTTGGCAAGTTAAACAGTTTGAAAGAAAATTCCTTCAAATTCCCTACAAAAAAGTGTCAACATACTTAGCAAATTTCACTGTGGTGGCATTTCGGGGCACAAAACCTGTGTGGAACTGAATCTGAAACATCTTCATAGAAGCCATCTGTTGGAAACAAGAAACACAGGGAAACTGCATAAATATGCATAAGAAGTATGTGTCGTGTTCTGCCTTTAATATAAAGCAAAGTATTTTCAGTATTGAAGCGTTCATTTTTCCACCTTGCATACTTTACCTAGAATGTTCTAAATGTAGACTATGACAGAATGTAGACAGATATAGCATTCATTAACAGAAAAAAAGCAAAAGCCCTTGGACCAGATACTACTCTCAGTACTAGCCTCAGATTATTGAAGTCTGTCAAATATTTCCAGACCCTGTTGTAAAGGCTTAAATGTTGTGACCTTTGTTACACTTTTCAGCATAACATATTCAGAAAAAAACTCATCATGCAATATACTAATATAGAAATAGGAACCCATCATAGGAGTCCATTCAGTACAGCTGTAAAAGTAACATATTGAAGGCTGTTTTTCCAAATGTATTACAACCATTCAACTTACCCCCACTGTTTCTTCCACTTACAGAAAAGATACTTCCCCCTGCTTGATCAGCAAACAAGAATCAAGAAAATGCTACCATAAAAGATCCATATAGCTCCAAATACAAATACAAAATACAGCAAACTGATAAACCCACACTATATTTGCTCCCTGGCTTTAATTACAGCACATGTAGAATATTCATGCCTGTCCTTATAATGCAAGTGATACAAACACAGTCTAATAAGACAATTCTGACAGCTTTTCTTATAATCATAGAACGGCTCAGGTTGGAAGGGACATTAGAGGTCATGTTGTTGCAACCCCTATGCTGTGGGTGGGGATGCCACCAACTGGATCAGGCTGCCCAGGGCCTTATCCAGCCTGGCCTTGAGCACCTCCAGGGATGGGGCATCCACAGCTTCTCTGGGCAGCCTGTGCCAGGGCCTCACCACTCTCAAAATAAAGAATTACTTTCCTAAGACTTAATCTAAATATACCCTCCTTTAGTTTAGTTCTGCCTGGTCCTGTGACTATCTGTCCAAGTAAAAAGTTGCTCTCCCTCTTTTTTGTAAAACCCCTTTAAGTACTGAAAGGCCACAAGGAGGTCTCCCAGAGCCTTTTCTTCTCCAGCCTGAACTGCCCTAACTCCCTCAGATCCATCTTCAAAGGAGAGGTGCTTCAGCCCTCTGATCATCCTTGTGGCCCTCCTCTAGACCCACTCTAACAGGTCCATGTCCTTCTTGTGCTGGAGGTCCCAGACCTGGATGCAGCACTCCAGGTGTGGCCTCATGAGGGCAGAGCAGAGGAGTACAATCACCTCCCTTGTCAGCCTCCTGTCCATTCCTCCGATGATGCAGCTGAGGATGCAGTTGGCCTTCTGGGCTGCAAGTGCACACTGCTGGCTCATGGTGAGCTTTTCACCCACCAGAACCCTCAAGTCCTTCTCCACAGGTCTGCTCTCAGTGAGTTTTTCTCAAAGGCATGATTTTTCCTTGGTGAAGCCGTGCTGGCTGTCTTGGATCACCTCCTTGTCCTGCACGTGACTTGACATTGCTTCCAGGAGGATCTGTTCCTTGATCTTACCAGGCACAGAAGTCACTGTCTTGCCAGGCTCACAGGTCTGTAGTTCCCCCAGGTGCTCCTTTCTGCTCTTGTTAAAAATGGGAGCGGCGTTTCCCTTTTTCCAGTCACCAGGGACTTCACCTGACTGCCAGGACTTCCCAAATACAATGGAGAGAGGCTTGGCAGCTCCATCAGCCAGTTCCCTCAGGCCCCTGGGATGCATGGCACTGGGCCCCACAGACCAGTACCTGTCCAGTTTCATCAGGGGGTCTCCAACCTGCTCTTCACTTACAGCAGGAGGGACTTTGCTCCCCCAGCCTCTATCTACAGGTTCAGGGAATCAAGAGACATGGGAAGCCTGACTGTCAGTGAAGACTGAGGGAAAACTTCCCAAATACCTCAGCCTTCTCCACGTCCGTGGTTACCAGCTCTCCCTTCTCATCCATCACAGTAAGCCCTCCTTGGTCTTTCTTTTCTGGCCAATGTGTCTGAATGCTGCATTGCGAAGTCTGTAAGCTTTGTATAACCCAGTTCTAGTGCACAACCTCTTTAAATACATCTTAATACATGTACAGCTCTGATGTGCTTGAGTTATATTGTAAAATTCCTTCTGCTAAACACTTTGTGGATTACAAAAAGATATAAAAATCAGCTTTGCCTGAAATTCCCTTTTTATACTCACACTCGGTATCCATGTTTTCCAGCATCTTCCACATTTTCCCATTGTTATGTGCATCTGATTTCAAGATTCCCCTTCTAACACCTCTTACAGCCAAAACTTTATTTACACTTTGCTAGTGTCACAGGCATGAAGTTACAAATCCTGACAGATGAGAACCATGATGACATAACGATGCAAAAGTTCCTCGCAGTAGGTGGACCACTTGACACTTACCTGAGCAGATACCTCACTCCCCATGTTAAATTTCACTTCACAAGTTCTGCCCACCACTGATTGTTATGAACTTTTGGTCAAGGCAGCTTAGTGACACACACCAGGGAAGGAATTAAGAGGCAGTTTCTCTCATCCATCCAGCCCTATCCTGAACTACGTATGAAAACCTGAAACACTATCAGATAAGTTTTAATCCCTCGTTATGCAAGACATTTCCTAGAAGATAAACTAAATCCTCTCTCAAATCAACTGTAAACAAGTGGAAGACATTCACAACACACAGCTCTAAGCACTCAACAGCAAAATTGAAATGCAATGGCTGATCTTAGTAAAGTTCTGCAGAGAGCTTCAGGGAGCATTTTACAGCATGTAGAACTAAGAAGACAATGAATATTGTTCCATTAAAGCACCAAACCAGTATCATTACATACACTGTTGATATACCATGTGTTACAGCAGACAGATGAGAAAATTCTAATCTCTCTTGGTTAATGGTTAAATACCAGAGAAACCAGGCATTAACCTTACAATCAGTGAAACTGACACTGAGATTGCACAAGGAGAACACATTACCTTTGGCCAAATATTTCTCAGTCTTGGATCTCTGCAACATACAATTTCATACTCAACTTTCTATGCAAAGTAAGAAATGTAGGGAGAACATCTACTTCAGTAATAGCAGAAATGTATGAGCATGTATTTTTGCTGCAAATGTCTGGAATCTGCAGTACTGTCTGAAGAACCTCTGGATCAATTTTCACAATACTGTAAGTTATCTAAACTTTGCTCTGTGTCATTCCATCTTTTACATAGACCTCCAGGTTTATTTACATAGACCTCTGGGTTTAATTTGGTCACAACACAAGAGGGGGACCCAAAATTCATTTATAGGAATTTGGAGACAGACTTGGAAAACTTGTGATTCTAGTACATGACAGTTTGCTTTTTTTTTTTATTATTAAAAATGAAATGTGCATTCTCTCTAGGAGAAAAAAAAAAAGACCAGTCATAAAATTAGCTACAACACTCAAACTTGCTTAGAAACAAGGTACAACACCACATGCATTTTTTTTATTATTTTATTTGAGACTGTTTAGTGCAGTCAGTCCCTGGAATACCACTTTTGCACTGAGTGGCATTTTTCTGTTCATTTTGGTTGACTTACACTGAACTAAGAAGTTTTGGCCTATTGTGCAACTTAATGGATGAGACCAAATAAATTGAAAAGTTATATTTGTGTGGAGAGCCTTTAGCTAGTTACTATCACTATAGGAGTAATTTCCAGAAATGCTTACCAAAGCATCTCCATGTAGAGCATGCAGAAAATGGACACTTACCAGGCCTGAAGGAACTGGATTCCCAAGTGCATGAACAAAAACATTTATTTGAACACAGAACACTAAATAAACTCATGTACTTAATGAGATTCCAAATACAATTACAACAGAAACTACACCTAGAAGCAAGCCATTCATGCAGGTTGTTAAATTTATTATTACCTTAGCTTGCAGTCGGCCTCCCAGTGTTGAGCGGGCATGATAGATCACAATGAGAACATCTCCTTGAACTGTTATACCTAGTGGAATTACAGCTTTCCCATCTTCAATTTTGAATTCCCTGAAGAAAAAGCATATCCACATTTGCACTATATTTTTCTGAAGCTGGATTATTTCCTTATGCTTAGTTTTCTTTCCCCAAGCCCTTCCATATCAACCCATGAAATTCCACCGTAAATTCTTAACTACGAATGAAGGAATGCACTCTAAGTGATTAAAACTTAAAAATTGCTCTTGTCACTTGCTTTGTCAAAAGCAAGTAGTTGACAAGCAGCAGTTGCCCAAAACAGAGCTACAGATGCATTTAGACTCATAACTCTCAAATCAAATATATGAGGAATATGCTTCTTAGGAACTGCTGTAAAAATGCAAGAGCACAATTAGAACAGTGGCCAACAGACTGGGAATTATGAAAGCTATTCCAAAGAAAGGTGAAAAGAAACTGTAGCTATACTGTTACACAATACTGGTAACCAATAAGTTAGGATCCCCACTGAGATACAGTAGTCCAAAAAAAAGGAAGATATTTTAACACTCCGTAGCTGTTTCTGTTGCTCCCTCTCCAAGTTCATAACAAATTTTTACTGGGCTTGGGTTTTTAAGAAAACTGGAAGGACTTGGGCATTCTTACCTTACCTCCACTTGTGACTGACTGCCAGATAGAATTGCTAGTATGATTTATAGCTGCAACATTGCATTACATCAGCAGGCACCAGAGTTACCCTGGATATACCAGAATTAAGTGCTTTCCTTACAGCTATGGCAGCTGGTGAATGCTTACTGCACAACTGCATCACAAAGTTCAGTCTTAGTGGTGTTGGTACACCACCCCAACTACATGTGCAGCAAAGATCAGTCTTCCTAGTTTCATGCTATTCCATGTGCTATAGAGTAGGTCTTGTTCAACTTTGTTTCCCAAAGCCCACAGTGTAATATGCCACTCCACTGTGATCCACACTTTCTGTGCAGACACCTTCAAACTCTTTTTTAACCACTTTGTCTCTTCCCCATGATTTACCTTTCAGGATCAACTAAAATGGGATAGAGGAGCTCCATGTATTTAAGCTGCTCTCTGCTCAACCAGCCCAAAAATCATATTTTCTCCTCATAGTAAAGACTTCTTATTTAAGTTAAAGGAAAACTTAATGTTCAGTTTTCATAACCTATACTTACTTCATTTTGTCATATTCCTGGGAGGTAGTAGCTACTCTTTCATCCCCAACATATACTTCACAAAAAGGCCTGCAGCCGTTACGCTGCTTACTGAAAAGAGGAACTGGAGTCATGATGATTGATTTAATAAGGATTGGCTTGCTGTGAGGAATAATTGGTTCTTCAGCCATCATGTCACACATGTATTCAATATATCTGTTAAAAACAAAAGGTTAGATCAGAGAACGAAATCATAAAAACAGGGGCACACAAGTTACTTTTGTTAATACCCAGCCACCCAGCAATAACTCGTGGTAATAGAACTGGAAACATGTAACAGCACTTCCTGGAAACAGATTTTTCAATTTGATAGAATTTGACAAAAGGAGAACAAAATAGAAACGTGAGGAAATACTTATGATACTTAACTGGTCTTTCTAAGGACAGCAACACAATTTCTGCAGGAAAATCTAATAGCTCCACCACAGCAGAAAAATATGCTGTTCAGACAATTGAATACAGCACCACATATGAAATCACCTGTGCCTTTGTTTCACCTTACAGACAATGCTAGCCTCTGCCTCAGGTCTATAGCTTTACATTTATTCACTTGTAAAACAAGCTAGCCACTCTTCCCAAAGGCCTCAGCTACAACACCCCACTAAGAGAACTGTTCACTGATATTTTACACAAAATGGACTAAAGTTACAGCAGTTCTGAAGCTAGTAACTCAAAGCTTCCTAACAGCACTTTACACATCAGGCTACCTTTATGTTTATCCTCTTTTATGACCTACCCTGTACAGGACCCATTAAATATACCCAGAAAAAATTTGTACAACTTCATAATTTGTCAGTTACTCTTCACTAATCTTTACTTCTCACCTTTCTAAATTTAATCTTTTTTTTTTTTTTTTTGTAGGAAAAACATTTAATACCACAGTCACTTGCTCTGGAGACTTAATTGTTACAAGATTGTACTGGGTCTAGCTGGAATGTTAACTTTTCCGGCAGCAGCCCATACAGTGCTGCTGTATGGGCTCACACTCAGCAATAAAAGGTGGAAACAAGAAGAGGGGAGGGGTGGGCTCTCGTTGAAAAAACGTCAGTCCTCCTCTCGAACACCGGCTAGAACACCGGCTATGTGCATTGAGGCCCTGCTTCAAGGATGTGGTCAATCATCACCCATTTGTGGGAAGTAGAGAGTAATTTCTTTCCTCTGCACTTCCATATAGCCTTCATTTATTTTATTCGTTTGTTTTCCTCCCTTCTTTTTATTTTTCCCTTTCCCCCTCCCTTTTCCCCTTTCTCTTTTTATTTCCCTTTAGTTAAATTGTTTAGTTCATAATAATCTTTATTTAATTATTATTTCCCTTCAATTAAATTATCCTTATCTCAACCCGTGAGTTGTTCTTTGCTTTACTTCTCCCCCTCCTCATCTAAAAGAGGTGGAGTGAGAGAGTGGTTGTGGGGTTTAGCTGCCCAGCACGGTAAAACCACCACAAAGATCTATCAAATTAATTCCAATACCTAGTTTCATATATTCTGACAAATATTCCAGTCATCTGCATGCACTCCTTTAAAAAACAGAAGGCATTTTTATCTGAACAAGAAATTATTACTCTTTCCAACAGAACTTGCTGTGGTCTGACACACTATAACTTACCATGTAGTAAGCTGGTGCACGTGGAATATAACGTCATCTACATGTGGAAGAGGATTTTATACTAAAGACAGCATTCGAAAGCACTGCATACCCTCGTTTTCACTCCTAACACTGCTTCACTACATACGATTCAGTTGTGATAACACCGTGAGTAATTAAGGTCTCAAACTACTCACAGAACTGCTTTATCTACTTACAATACATTTGTTTTTCCAAGTATTTTGTTGTTTTAACACAGACACTGTTGAAATAATTTATCCTAAAAAGGACCCTGTAAAAATAGTAGCATATTCACAATTGCACAAATACTTGCTTCAATAGTACCCTACAAACAGACCAATAGCATACCTTTTATGAGAAGGCCAAATACCAGGCGGACATCTTTTCATACTAAACATATAAACTGCAGCTTCAGCAGTCGTGAAGAGACGACAAAAACACAGAAAAGAACAAACTACAACAGCAGATGCGGCTCTTCCATCCTACAAGAAAATTGTAAATCAGAAAACATTTTTTGCTCCCCAAGGCTACTTTGCCTTATCCCTCCTATATAATGACTACTATATTACATGCAAGCGTTGCGGTTTAACCCGGCCGGCAGATAAGCACCCCACAGCCATTCGCTGCCCCTCCCTCCTCCCCTTCTGGGATATGGAAGAGAATCAAAAGAAAAAGAAGCCAGTGGGCTGAGATAGAAACAGTTTCTTAGGACAGAAAAGAAAGGAAAATAACGATAATAATACTACTAAGAATAATTTGTGCAAAAGCGATGCGCAATTGCTCACCACCTGTAGGCCATTGTTCAGTCGATCCCCCAGCAGCCAGTACCCCCCACCCCAGCCAGCCACCCCTATATATTGTCCAGCATGACATCAGGTGGCATGGCACATCCCTTTGGCCAGTTTGGGTCAGCTGTCCTGGGTCTGTCCCCTCCCAGCTGCACCCCCAGCTTGCCCACTGGCAAGACAGAGCAAGAAGCTGAAACGTCCTTGACTTAGTGTAAGCACTGCTCTGCAACAATTAAAACATTGGTGCATTATCAACTTTATTCTCATCCTAAATCCAAAACACAGCACCATAACTGCTACCAGGAAGGAAATTAACTCTATCCCAGCTGAAACCAGAACAGCAAGGAAGAGCTACATCATCCCACTAACTGCCTAAAAAGAAAATTTATGGAAATAATTTATTAATACATAGCAGGATGGAATTCCCTCCAGGCCCTACAGTGAGGAAAACCAGGAATATTCACGAACTGTGTGATACTAGCATCCTTAATCACTACCTAAAGCTGGATTGAGCAAAACACTTGAGACAAACCAATTACTTACAAGGCAGTGCACAATGCAAACGTTTTTCTGATCTTGTTTCAGCCATAAATGCATGTTCTTGCATATACTGTAGAGATTCTGAAGATTTGGTGCTCGCCTTGCTGGCCAGCCACATTCAGAAACCTGAAATGAGAGATCCAGCCAAAGTGACAAACAACATGACAGTCACATATTTGCACAGCATAAACTATGTGTATAAAACGAAATTTTGCACTTGAATGCCATCTCTGTGCAGAAATTAAGCGAAGTGCCCCTCCCAGAAATAGTATTGCACACTACAAGCATCATGTTATAGGATCAAACACAGCAGCCCTCTGGTCTGTTCCAGTCTGAAGGATCAACAACATAAGATTTTTTTCCTCGGAGAAAATTTCAGGTTGTAAAAGCTTTCAACCTGAGTAGTTCACGTTTTTAAGGAAAATGTTAGATTCAGTATGTTTTTACTTGTGTCCTTTACTCAAAGAGCCTCAACAGTTCAGTAATACTCCTTCTGCAATTAGTTTTACAAAAGACTGCCAAATAATTGCTTCACTGCTCAGCCTCTGTACTCTTACAGCCATCTGCCTGATAAGAACGCAGTACATGAGAAGCCTGATCCGTGAGAACCTGCAACTCAGAGAGCAAAGGCTCTATCAGGACCAAGCGAACAACTTGCAAAGCAACCTTTTTCTTTTTAGACAGGACTGAAAATGAAGGTGAAAGACCGAGTTTACTATCAGCCACACGTCTTCTCAAACAGAAGAGCTCAAAGGTTACTCAGATTAATTACCTGAACTATCACAAGAAGTTCTCAATGAGATGCCAAGCTCAGGAAAAAAGACTACAAGAGATAATCTGACATATGATGTCATCTATAAATTAAAATACTAGAGTACAGTGAAAAGCTAAAAATTTGGCTGTTTCAGAAAACCTCACTTTGCTAGAGATTTAACATTCTTTTGTTAGTGAAAAGTTTTGCAAAGTCACCACAGACCAAATAAAGCTAAAGCAAACAGCCCTTTATATTCTTGCTCACCACAGATTTGAACATGGGCGTCAGTACATCTCAAATACTATACTATCACTGAAAGAATCATATGGCAGCATTACAGCTATAAACCAGAAAATAAAGTGGAAAATACATATTCTAAAAGTTAGAGAAATTACTTTTTTTGACTTAAAGTTTACTTTCTGCTCAGACTCTAGTTTTGCCATGGAAATGGAAACCACACAACATTGCCCACTTTCCATTTGCCTGTGTTTGAAGCTCAAAATGTTCAGGTCATTATCAAAATTGAAATTGCCAACATGTTGTGTTGCTGACACCTTTAAAGACCCACAACCTCCTTTTATAAGATGGAATCAAAGAAAAATTCAGATTGCAGTGAACTAGAGATCTCCTGAGGCTCCAACAGCTCAAAGCAGAGTCAGTGGTAAGGTCAGACTGACTTGCTGAGAGCTTTATACTGGCAGGTCTTAGAAATCTCCAGAGACTGAGTGCACAACCTCTCGAAGCAACCTGTTCCAAACACAACTCAAAGTTAGCAGAGAGGATTTCAAAGCTACCATTAACTTTAATCAAGGCTTTTTTTTTTTTTTTTTTTTTTTAAGGATTTAGACATAGTACACAGGAAACCATGAAAGTATCATTTCATAAATGTTTTAGATGCTGTTCTATTTTGATCAAGTTTAAGGGTTTAAGGCTTGCCAGAATCATCGTTTGTGGCACTAGAGAAGCTTAAGCTTCTTTAGCTTCTTACTTGACTGCTCTAGCCCAGCACTGACTAACGAAGTTAAAAAAGTCAGGAAGCATTACTCATCGTAAATCTGGATTTCAAAGATGGACAGGGAAAATTTTCCCATCATGAGTTTTTCTTCGTACAAGATTTTTCTCAAGTAAAATATCTGTTTTTACAGAATACAATTTTTTGCTTTTTTGTTTGCTTCTTTTTATAGAACTTAAACACTCCTAGCCAACGAAGTGGGCAGGAACACATAGTGTTGTGACAAGATACAAGATATTATTTCTTTCCAGATACAGCAAAACAAAGATCATACAACAAAATCAATGTCACTAAGACAGATGTATACCAGAAAATCTTCAGGCCACTGGAAGATTTAACTGCATACATACTGCCAATCACAGCATTAATACATCAGGAATATCAGTGTCTAGGTAAGACTGATAGATTTATCAGAACAAGGAATAAATGAGTTCACTTAAATACATCAGCCTCGGTGGACTTCTCCAGGATCTTAGTGCTAAAATGCATTCCTGAAGTTTTTGTTTGAAGCACCTGCTCCAAGACTGTTTAAGTCTTTAACTAAACCTCATACTGAGCCAAATTCAAAAAATCTTGATCCTGAATAGAATCCTCCACTCAAAGAGGTCATAACTGTTTTTCAGGTGTGACATTTAAACTTGTAGACAGTACAAAGTAAGGATACAAATAGGGAAGTGACAAACACTGGATAACATACATTAAATATTTCCCAGACTGATGACATTTAAGCAAACTCAGATAACTGAAGAAATGCTAAAGGATGGCTCTGCAGAATAAGGTCTACAAGGACCTTATATTTCATGTAGCACATAACGCTTTTAGACTCCCCACTGGGCAGTCAGTATTGTGGGGAAGGGGCACGATCACTACACACAATGTAGATAGGGTCTAGCATAGCTAGTGCTAGACAACTCAAAACACAGCAGTAACTTAGACTGTTGAGCTAGTTACAGGACAGTTGAAGCATATTTAGGAGCACTGACAGAAGTCCAGAGTTTTAACACCCACCAAGTTGCCCTCATTATTGTGTTACTGAACTGGGGATGTGTCTTCATTTTAGCATCAGAGAAATAGGCAGGAAGGCTACTGAAGGCTCAGCTAAATTATACCAGTATCTCATGCAGTAGCAACAAGCTGTCAAGTAGTCATCTCTGGAAAACACAACGCTCCAGGGCTGGGCCACACTGGAGTCAAACAGTATGCAGTGGGACAAAGAGAAAGTCCAATCAGCATTATTTAAAATCAATCTCCAAAGCAGTACTACTTTTGAAAGAAAAAAAAAATCTGAATGAGAAGAGACTGAGGTTTTAGTAAGACTGCTGTTCTTCATTTAAATCTGAAATATATAAGGGTACCAATACATTTCTTCAAACATATCACTAGCCTAAGAAACGTACTTGAGTCAGTAAGATTAAAGATTAGCCTTAATTTATAACTTTGAACAGGAACCAAAACCAAGCAGAACACAGGCTACTCTAACCTTATGTTTACACTCTTATTTTGTCATATTTTTGATTAAGCAGCCTACTTTAACACATCCCACAACGGGAAGCTGAAGATATACACTAAGATACTTTGTTGAAAGACCTTTTATAAAAATACACAAAGATTATACACACCCTATTATGGAATCTTGAAGGCCTGTATGTTCTTTGAGAAAGGTTATACACAGCATAGTGCCCAGGATGTTTAGAGTCCAAACATAACCTCACATCTTCTATGTTATTTTTGATGGCAGACTCTACACCTTCAGCTGGAAAGGACATCACTGAAAACAGAAAGAAGTGAATACTTCACCTTGAGATCTTCATATACTAAGAACAATCAAATGATCGAGAGATGTAGTAATCATACCTGCAATTCTGGAAGTGATGTATGATATATCCAAGTCTCCTTTGGCATAACTGAAACAGAACACATTGGAGTTAGTACTGGGAAGCAGAAGCATTTGAGACATAGATTCAAAAATTCAGGTCTTAGCCTCCACTCACTGCAAAGAATAATCTTTTATTTCTTCCATCTGAAGGACCCATTCAGCCTGGCCTTGAATACCTCCAGAGATGAGGCATCCACAGCTTCTCTGAGCAACCTGTTCCAGTGCCTCACCACCCTCTGAGTAAAGAATTTCTTCCTTATATCTAATCTAAATCTACCCTCTTTTAGGTTAAAACAGTTTGCCCAGGTCCTAGAACTATCTGCCCATGTAAAAAGTCGCTCTCCATCTTTTTTATAGGAAGAATTTCTCCCCAGTAGCTAAACTTTCCCTCTTTTAGGGCAAGGGGTTATGGCTTTAACCTATCACTACAAAGATGTTATTTAAAACATGTTATATAAATATATAGATGTTATATAAATTAATAATGTTATATGTAACACACACATACATATATATATATAAAACATATATATATGTTATATATAATATTACAGATGTTATATAAACCCCCTGACAAAGAGTCCCTCCCCACCTTTCCTGTAGACCCCTTTTAGGCACTGGAAGGCCGCTGTAAGGTCTGCACAGAGCCTTCTTTTCTCCAGGCTGAACAACCCCAACTCCCTCTGCCTGTCTTCATAGATTTCAGCTCAAATTTACTGTATATTCATTGAATTTATAAATTGAAATCATTCCTCTGGGCATTTTGGAAGTGAATTTTCAAAGTGAGCAATTACTACTCATTTCTATATAATTGTGACGGGTTTTTTTGTTTAGTTCAATTCCTTCCATCTCTGCTTAATCACCTACATTATGCCAACAACTTAGTATTTTAAAATGACTGATATTTTTTTTTCCAGGGTAGTTGCTATGTAGCAGGATGAAAAAGCCTCAGAAAGACTGAAAGACTCTAGCATAAACCCAACACCCTTGACTTGGATCCAACACGCCTGCACTCCTGACTGGCAAAGCAAGAACAAATATCACCTACAGAATTTGGGTTAGATACCTAACTGAAATTAGTAGCATAACTCCAGAATATCAAAAGTTCACCACAGTATGATGCATATTTAAAGAATGTAAATGCATTATCAAAACCAGGTGTTCTAGAATTACTACAAAATTTCAAGACGCTGAAAGAGAAGACTTAGAATACTGCACTCATTTTCAAAACATTAAGAGAAAACATTATTTCTTTGATTCCCTATGGCTTGCTATTAAATACAAAAGAGCCTGGAGGGATTGATTGAAAGATTGAATTTACAAGGACTGGTAGGACGATTTTAGGTGAGGTAAGAACAATTCCTTTGAAGGCAATGACATGAAAGAATGTTTATATGGACTGGCATAGTCCTTGTCCTAACAATAAAAAATGATCCAAGGTCTCAAGATAAATTGAAGTCACTACAAGGAATTTTGAGAGCCTTACTAGACAAAGCACTGAAAACTCAGTCTAGATAGTGTTTGGCCATTTTGTCTATTTCAAACTTCTTTGCAACTCTGGAAATATTTAACTTCCTCAGCCAAACTGATTAAGGGAGAAAATTATACTCAGAGCCAATTACAAATTCTTACTAGTGATGAACACAGTATTTATGATTGAGAAGTGTCAAATTCTGTCACTTACACCCACCAGCTTTAAGCAAGAAAACATGCAGATCATTCTAACGACTTCAACTTTTTTTAGTATCAAGACAAAGAACCACCTAATATGATAGCCTGAGAACAAAGATCTATTATGTCTTTTACATTACTACAGGTTAAACAACAGTGTGAAATGAATGCACAGATCTATAAAAAGAAAAACAAAAAAATGTCTTTACATCCATTAGGGAATATTTTCAGATATTAACCTGTTTACTAAAAACACTATTCTATACATCTTTGATTTTTACATTTGTCTAAATTAAAATGCAACATTACTAAGAGCATGGTTCTCACTACACGCACTTGCAGAAAAGCCCCATGCACATTAAAGCTAAAGCACTTACTGAAAAAGTGCTATTTGGTATGACAATAACATCACAGCCAAGAAAAGCTTGCTATTTTGCAGGAAAAAATCTGTATGCCTGTTGCAACTGAAAAAAGCTTCAGAATGGTTCTGCTGTCTTAATTAAAATGTAACTGCTATGCAAACTGCAAAATCAACAAAACTCTCAAGATGTGTGACTTTCCTTAAATTCCTATTCCATGTTTCCCTTAAGCTTTATTCTGAGGACTTGAGATCTAATTCAGTATTAACAATGGAACAGAAGATACTCTTTTTACTGGAGTGTTTCACTTCAGACTGGCAAATAAGATTCCTTTAATTTTCAGGAAGACAAAATAGACACGCAATTTTTCAGTCCACTTTTCACACACACGCTGATATGCATTCCTATACATTTCAAGACATAACCCTGTAACAAGACACAACCCTGTAATAAAATACCAGGACTGAGGTTTTTCCTTTCATGCTATTAACATCAGGACATTTAATTTACCATAGCAATGTTGCCAGCAGGTGATGAGTGCAACAACGTTTTTGCATGACAACCCGACACTGCATGTAGGTTTTCTGGTTTGAAAAAAATCCGTAATTTTTAGGCTTTTTAGAGGCTTCAATTAAAGGTAAATGGAAAAAGTATGCTATCCTTTTCCAATAACAGCAGGCAAAGCTTTTATAGTGAGATACCTAAAGCAAAATATAGCAAATAAAATATAAATTCTAATTTTGCAGTACAAGTATCTGAAAAAATTCAGAAGTTGTAATTAAATGTTACAGACTTCTCATTGTGGAAAGGGTTGGCAATACTAGTTCTGTCAAAACAGTTGCATTTAATAGTGATACTTAATATTAAACAAAACATCACTCCAGCAAATTAACTTAAAAAAATATGCAATTTTAAAATAAAGCTAGTTAGCACACAGCACAAAATTTTGGATGAGCAGTTACCGTGTGTTGCTATCACCTGAAGATGGGAAAGAAAGAATAAAAAAAACAACAGATGAATTGGTATAGCTAAAAAGTAAGAACGCAAAGCACTCTTTAGTCAAATAATGCTCTAACACTAAACAATCTTTCTCCACACATTTCTACACTCACAATAAAACACCTATTCATTAGCTAAGTACCACCACTGCTGATGCTTATTTTCTTACAGGCCAAGAAGAAATGCAGCACTGAAACTCACAACAATCTGCTTCTGCTTAGTTTTGCTTTGTGAAACTGAATTAATCATTCAGCTACCCAATGCAACGTTAATCTATCAAATAAAACATTAATGCAGCATCAAGAAACAAAATTACCTTAGAAGCAAAGGAAGCTAACAATAAAAGGCAGCTAATTGTTCTTGCATTTTTAGATCATAATCTCTTCAACAGAAGAGACTAGTTTGACAAAGTAAAAAAAAAAAAAAAAAAAAGACCAGAAGTGCAGAATGCAAATTCTATAATAGGAATTCCATACCAGGTTTCAATATCAGGTACCTTCCATCCCAAGCCTCTCTCTGATTCTAACTAGATGACAGACTCCAACATAAGGAGTTGGAAAATGCATTTCAAGGAATAGACATTTGAGTTTATCCAGAATGCCTGCTTCTCATATTTGTTGAAGAGTTTTAGAAAGGTAGTCAAGGATGCAATCAGTAGTAGAAAAGGCATTATTTCATCCTTTATTCTGTCAGCTGTAGCCACAACACAAGTTTGTGAGGGCAGAGAATGACCCTGACAGAAAACAGCTATGTCCTACAGCAGACACAAAGAATGGATTAGCATTTCAGCACAGTTAAAGTACAAGAAGTTTAAGAATGCACAAGCCTAGTGGTAGGACTCTCAGAAGCACAGTGAGTGTGTACATGCTAAAGAACTTCAGACTACATAGGTCTTGTAAAACATTAAATATTGCTCACACTAATTCATGTGCTGCCATTCCAGTGAAATGGAATACAGACTCAGAGAATGAAACTTGCAGCATTAAGGGCCACTGAAGAGCACTGACGAATTCCAAGTGGAAAAGGTTTTCTTTGAGTATTGATTAAGCATCATATGGAAAACAAGTATTGAAGTAACTGATTCTCACTAGCACATTCATGTACTTGGTGCATTCCTCCTTTTCTTTCATTCCCAAAACCATGTGAAAACAAATTCACATGGAAAACAGGAAAAAAAAATGCAGTTGTATCAAGACAGTTCTCCACAAGAACAATATTTGTTTTTACTAGTGCAGAGCTTTAATATATTTGACAACCTCACATTCCCTTTAAGGTGCATGAGTCACCTTAGACATCAATCTGTATTTAATCAGCCCAGTCCAAAACACTGGAGAGGAACCCATCTCCTCATGATTACACTTGGTATTTAATGTTTAGACAATTTAAAGCAAAAGTGACAGCTTGCCATTAAGTCGTGTCACATTTACAGACACTGTCTGATGATACTCTGATGATCCTCTCTCAATTCCTCACAGGACATGGATGCATTTTATCCCCCTTTAGCTAGAAGAGACCAATGGTTGGTTATCTGCCAGGTTAGATGAGGCCCTGAGCATGCTGATCTAGTGGGTGGCATCACCGTCTACAGCAGGGGGGCTGGAACTGGATGATCCATGAGGTCCCTTTGAACTCAAACCATTCTATGAGTTTATGATCTAATTCGAATATTTTAGCACTTACAACTGTTAAGCGTAAAAACCCACCCCAAACTGTGCTCTCAAGTTACTCAATTCTAGTGAATAACCACATACGACCTTCTGTGAGTAATGCAAATGAGATGGAAAAGTGAAGAGCTTTTTCCTGACTAAGAATATTTATTGAGTTCCACAAGACATGCACAGAAATATCTCCAACAGCATTTAGATCCCTGACAGCAGCTCAGACACTATCACAAAGTAAATCATGCTGGATTAAGTTTGAAGCAGTTTAGAGAACTTCAACAGTTTGTGTCTCCTTGTGATTTAAGGCCTGAGTGACCCTGGTTTTGGGCAGGGCACAAGAGCTTCCATCTCAATCATACTCTTCCAAAATTGTAAAAAAATAAAATAAAAATTTAAAAAAGTTAAAAACTTGATTCTAACTAAAGTGCCAAGGATATAGTTCAGCAACAGTACAGTAACTAGCAATTCAAAATGAACACTGTAACTAAGATGCAAAACATATTTGGGCAATCACAATTCTCTAACAAATAATTTTAGAGAGAGAAGAGCATGTGAACTGACCGGCATCTTTGACCATTAAGTACTCACTATACATCAGAAGCTGCCAGATGAGTTTGAATATACAGTTACTATTTTACTCCTTGCATGCTACTTTTATTATGGAACCAAATGAAAACGCACAAAGCAGAAAGCCCCACAAAACTGTCAGGTAAGAAATAAAAATAAGGTGAGAAGTCAGCATGAGGCATTCCATCCTGAAAGGTCACCTGTAGAGAGCTCTTATCCCTCACCCCTGGCAAAAGGGGAGAACAGCACAAGATGAAATTCAGAAAGTAATCAGTGGCCATTAAGGAATAAACTGCTTGCAAGCGCAGGAAGAGAAACGTCTTCGGATGTAACTGGGGGCACAATACAGAAAGTCATGTGGAGACAACAGCACAAGAAGTGGAGTGCAAGAATAGTGCAGAAGCATGCAGTGTACAATCAAAATACTAGAGTGAAAGAGTAAAAACAAAGGCACAAGAATGACAGCTTAAAGCTTTATAATTTTGTAACTTTGTCAAAGGAGAAGACAAATAAGGACTATCTATCACTAAGGAAAAGTCATTTCTCTGTTAAACTTCAAAATTAATGCAAAATAGCAGAATTTAAGACAAGGAATTTAGTACCTTCAAGTTTTTAAGTAGTAGAGCTGCTAAAGGCAAGGAATTGGCAGAATATAACTATTATCACACAGAAATTTTCTTTAAAAAGATACCATAAAATCAACAAAAGCAAGGCTGAACAGATGGTCAGAGGAAGATCGGTTCCACAAAAGGTAGCAGGTGCAAGGAGATAAAGAACAGAGGTCTGTAAGACAGCATGAGCCAAAGAACTAAAATGGGGAATGGTTGCTGAAAAGTTAAAAGCAGCTCATCATAATACTTCATACACAGAATTCCTACAGTTCTGCTATGCTGCTGAGAACTCACTGTTTTTCATCATGTGACAGTTCACTCCCCTTGTATACCTCCCACTCTTCTCTCGAGTCAGTGTAGTTCTCCAAAAAAAAATTTGATGTTGTGCCAATCGTTTTTATCTGTGGAAGGCTTGTAAGGACAGATCAAAGCTACATAGCTTTTCTGACCTTTAAAAAGAGAGGACCTAGCCTTTTTAAGCCATACATGAGAAGTTTAAACAGACTAAACTTAAGAACAAACAAAGAAAAATGCACTCAAAGTAGCTACAGAGGTGCAAGTTCCACAGACCCGAGTTCTCTGATCATTACAAACAGTTTAGAGCTGTACAATAAACAGACTACACCTGACAGAAAAGCAGTTACAAGCAAAAGACTTCAAGTATGGTATTTCCAATTAAAGTGCTACAAACCCTACAGTAAAGGACAAAGTACAGTTGCTGTACTTCTATTATCCTATTGACTTACCTTCCTCTCTTCCTAGAATTAAGAAAAAGTTTTCACACTGCATCAAACTTGATTATAAGTTCAAAAATGTATGAATCCATACTGTGATGACCAATCATATAAAGACAGTTAAAACCATTTGTAGTGGGAGTGAAAAGAATCATTAGAAACAACACTGCACTAATACTCTGAGAACATACACATCCGGGGAGGAAAGTATTCTTCTATGTAATTCAAGGCAAAAAAGACAAAGTGCAGAACCACTCATTTTGCCTAAAGTCTCTCCATTCAATCACCCATATTTGACAGAGTGAAAGAGGACACTGGATGACAACTGCAAACTAAACTGGACAGAAGAGCCAATGCACCATTTCCCTGCAGTTTCTCTCCCCTCCATTCCCTTTAACTAACACTACTCTATCTTTCATTATTCCTTCTTTATTCATTGACGCATCATATAGTTTTGTTGGTTTTTTGTTTGTTTGTTTGACCCATGATAACCTTATTTCTATACCACTCCTCCCTGCTCCAGCCCCTCTCCACTCATCTCTCCCAGGTTTTCAGCATGTGTAAAACAGCAGACAACAGCAGGAAATGCAGCACTTATGCTGGGGGGAAAGCCTGTCTATATTTCTAAAACACATTAATACAAAAGCTACGGTAGAAATAATAATTCATAAAGTCTCAGTGCTATTAGCTATTAGAGTTCATATTTAGAAAACAATGCTGAATTTGACCATTTCTACAATAAGCTCTTGAGCCTTCATTTAGAGCTCTTACCAGCACAATTTATTTTTACTCACTTGGCCACAGACTGGATAACTTTAGAAGACGTATCCTTAATATTTGTGAAAAACCGTTCTGTTCCTCCTCTCAGAATATCAAAGAACCCTCCGTAAGTCTGGTCACACTCTGCAACAGTCAGGCCTAGAGTAGTCAAACAGAAGTAATTGTACTTTAAGTCATATCCTGGAATAGGCTCCATTTTAAAGCAATTTGCCTACAAAGATGGAAGTATATACAGGCTAAACTTTGTTGTAAGGCTCACAGTTCAAAAGCTTTCCTTAATGATGACCTATGAAAAGAATGACCTCTGCATGGTCAAGAGCTATTGGTAAACTACATAACAGATTGCTTAGTTGACTACGCACATTTAAGAGAAAACAGTAAAAGATTCATAAAAGTAAGGCATTTCATACAGCCTGTGCAGGCATAATTAAGTTACATTTTAAGCCCAAAATCTCAGCTAGAAACATCTATTTGTTAGCATGATAGTATACAAAGAGTACTCGATCCCGCACAAAACAGATGGCCAGACAGCCTTTTGATTATACTCCTATTTGGAAGCTAGATTCCTATTCAGCAATTCATATACAGACAAAATTACTGCAAATAAATATTACCCAATTTTTTAAATTTCCTCTTGAGCTTTAATACCCTCTTACTGGCAATTCAGCATACATAATATAAAGCAAGTGCCACCAAACTGGAAGGAAAACTGAATATAGTATGAAATACTCCCTTGATTTCTTCTACATTAATTGTAATGTTAAGCAACATACTCATACTTGATGTAAGATGGTTGCAGAAACTGCCTTTCATTAAAAAATTAGATGCAAGTAAGCCCATTAGCTTTTTATTTTCTTCGCTATATGAAGTACAAATATTTCCAATTGAGTGAACCCTGGAATACCTACTTTTATAGAATGGGTACATCAGCTTTTAATTGTGACATTTTGAAGACATGCTTTGGTTGATTCAATTAAGTGCTGTTAGCCTAACTACTGCTTTTCTTCAGATGCTAACACAACTTCTCATCACTAAAGTTCCTCTGGCACAACTCTGCATAATCATCCCCTAATTAGCTGGACTCAAGGCAGCATCAGCTATGGTGCTTCTGAACGCAATGACCTGACTACCCATAAATGAGCTTAGGCTTCTGCTTTTTACCTTCTTGAGGTTGTCAAAAAAATTTATTTTGGGATTGACAAAGCCAAATATGAAAATGACTGTAGACTACAATTGCTATGAGACGGGCTTCTAACTAACAGATGGGGTTCAGTTCAAAAGCTTTTTTAGGGGATAAGAGGTAGGGGGGAGAGGGGGATTTCACATGCCTACAAATTTATTTCTTCCTCATGTAGGCTTTTATCAGACTAAAATAATAGTGTCACATCGGTGGCTTCTTAATATCAATGTGCTATTGTAGTTCCTAGATAGCTACCAACAGACAAAATCCTTGAAATTGCTTCTGCATTTCTTGGTTGGACTACCTCAACATTTAGGTATCAACAAGCCTGTTTTAGCATAAAGTTATGAAAAAGACAAAGAATGGCTGCTTTTGGTCATGTCATATATAATGCTAAGTAGTTCTGCTTGGAAAAGAGACAAGTATCATCTTCCTACAGTAGAGATCCAATGTTGTGCAAGACCTCAAGATATGGACCAATTTTGGTAACTTGTGCCACAACATATCAAGGTTTTTGTTATAATCCAGCACTTCTGAGAAGATTTTCAGCAGTTAAATTTAACTTTACAAATTCTCACTTTACACTGAATATTTCAAAATATCATATGCCTCACTGAACTGGAAAGTTTGAGGTTTAAAGTAAAATATTTTTGTTTACTTTCACTGTAGCTCTTATTCTTAGAAATATTATTTCTTATTCTGTCAGTTACTCTCATCAATTCTTAATTCATTATCAGAACACTCTTACCCATCTACAAGTCAGTAATGCATTTTAGTTTCAACTGTTCTACACAAGAAACTAAATTTTATCTTCAGCAACAAATTTGAGAAATTCACATTTGCATTATCAACATACAACCAAACCCTGAGAAAAAGGAAAAAGGTTAGAAACAGCAATGTAAATTCAAAGTAGCCACATAAATGTCTAAAACCCCAAAGTGATTTTTTTTTTCTTCCAAAAACCAAGATATTTCTTTCTGCAAATACCTGCATTGTACATGTTATTGAGCTGTCCTGCAGGCTTGGAGCTCTGTGAAACCGATGTTACAGACACCCGAGGCTGAGCATTGTTCCCATAGCCTCCATTTTGTTCCAGGAGCTGTGGAGATCAATACTGTGATGATTTTCTTGCTCATTTAGCCAACTTATAAAAGTAACTTACACAGTATAACTTGGTGAGAACAAGCATGCAATCTGTTTCTGAGGCTCATGAGAAAGCCAGGAAGGTTAAGTACAGCAATTCATTCAGTTTCAGTATTGTGTAAATTAATCAAACTGGAGACAAATAAGTGGGTTTCCAGTCAACGTAGGCAGAGTCCTCATGTATTAGATTTTCCTGTGCAAGTTAATGATTGTTAAATGCAGCATGTAAAATAGAGCACTTACTTACAAAGGAATGACCCAAGATCGTGACATTTTTTCAATAAGCAGTAAGAACTATAATTAGTTTACTCTAATGTCACATAAGCTCTAAATTATAAAAGCACATTTTCAAAGACCATACAGGTAATGTAGACCAATTCAAATGAATTACAAAATTGTGAAGTTTTCAAAAGACTAAGGAACATGGGACCTGCTCTGACATTTGTTACTGAACTCACATTGGATAAAAAAGGAGAGAAAGGAAGGAGACCTTATCAATAATACTCCTTTATGAGATTCCTTTACCTCTGTGATGGGGGATTTAGGGTTCACATTCCTAGCTGCTGCAATCTCCTGCAGTTGATTCACTAGTTCAGTGATTGACAATCTTTCCTCTGGGTTCACTTTCAAGGAAGAGCCTAAGAAAACATGATTCAGGCAATAAAACAGATACCCTTCAGAGCTCTTCTTTCAGCAAACATCAGTACTTTCTTCAGTGCACTCTAAAGCAATGAGAGCACTCAAACATGTGGAACAGTGTGGAGCAGACACTAAATCCATATTCAAGTATCACTGTTGTAAGTGATACAACTAACACCATTTATGGTCAAGAATATTTTATAGCATATACTTTAGGAGTCTATTAATGACCAACCTCAGAAGCAATGTTGGATTTATTTTTTGACAGCAATTTAATAATGTTGGATTTGTAGCCAAAGTTCTGGAACTGTAATCAAAGCTTTTGGCAACCTATATGAATTGAAAGAAGTAAGTATTTCGAAAGCAAATTCAAAGAATTCATCAAAACACTAATCACTCCTATGGAATGATTCAAACACTAAACAAGACAGGTGACATGGCTAAAAAATACGTTTCATTTAAAGTTTAAGTTTTCTGAATTTGGATTAAAATTTTGAATACAATGAAAAGTTGTTACAGTTAACTTTTCCGTCATCACATAATTATGCAGAGATCTACAACACTTAATTCCAGGAATATAACACAAATACTAAGATACATCCATTGCGACCACCAAGCTAGTAACATTATAAACTTACTGATGAGATCATGAAACACAGAATAGCGGGTGTCATTTTGTGGAATAGTGTATTTTCCATTGACTATGCGAAGTTTAGCTCCATCTTCAAAAGGATGTTGCCTAAAGCAGAGTAAATACAGGATACAGCCCAGAGCCTACAGAGAGATAAGGCAGAAATATTTAATTCAGGAACTGATAACTGAAGTGGAATTTTAGACTATGCAATTGATTAAGTTCCTTACTGGAGCTTGCAGATCACAGATTTCAATCATCAACTGCTGACTCATGCAACCTTAATTTTTATGTACATACACACACACACACATATATATGTGTGTGTGTATGTACATGCATATAAAACAATGCTTTAGGTATCAGTTTCACACTCCTGAAATAATTAGCCTTGATGTTTCTCTGAGGACAGAAACACTTAGTAAAACAGTCACTTGCCATTTTAGAGCACTCCTAGAAGTGAAACTGCTTTTAAATAGGTATGTGGTTTGTTCTTCCCTCCCCTCCCTGAAGCTTTCAGTTTCAGTGATTCTCCTATTCATGTCTTTTTAAAAATCATAATAATACATCTATTTTTTGCATTTTGCAGTATACAAAAAAATGAGCACTTGCAACACTGAGCATGTTCAGGAACAGTCTTTCTTCCAGAAGTATTAGACATTTTATTTCTAAACTTCATCTTAGGCTTCAAGGAGACTAATTCTGTTTCTTGAGTAGGAATTTGGTCTTTCTTATTTCTAACCCAAATACTTTACTATACAATGCACCAGCAAGGTAAGCATTTAAGTATAAACCAGTCTGTTTAAATGCCATGCTATGGGAACACAAAGGTGTCTCTGAAACAGTTGTTTTGATAAAGATTTGAAGAAAAACAGCCTGAAACGATTGTCCCTTTATTTCCTAATAGCCACGTAACAACTTTAATCAGAAGGTTATTCAATTCTTTCTAGCAAGTAAAGTTGAAAATCAATCCCAGATGGATTTTTCAAGCTTCAAAGAAAAACATCACAGAGTTGTGACTATCACATTCTAGGAACTTCAAAGTTCCTTGAAGTGTCCAAACGTAACTTACCTGTGTAACCTGACAAGGGAACAACTATCAGAGCCAGCAGGACATAACAAGTTCTAATTTCTGAATAGTCTAGGTGCTATGGATTAGTTAGAACAATTTTGTGTGTTAGTTAAGTAAATTTAAGTTTTGTGTATATTTGTGTGTATATATATACACATACATATATATATACACACACATATATACATATGTATATATACACACACACACACACACACTATACATAAATATGAACTCTTAAGAATATATGAAACCTATTTGCAGAGTTATCCTGGCATAGAAGAACCATGCTTTCCTCTGGCTTACAAAAACTTTCTGGTAAAGCACCCAATACCTCTAAGAAAACGTTTGCACAACATACTGGTGAATTCTTCCTTACTCTCTTCTGTACCCAGCTTACTTACTAAAGCATATGGGTTCTTATATCCTTCCCTCAAAAAAACAAGCCAGCAAAGATACTAGCTGAGAAATCTGTTTACTGCTTTCAGTCCTCCTTGCACACTGTCTCAAACTGTCTTTGCTTGTCCGTTTATCCCAAGAACAATTTCAAAGAGTTGAATGTTATTAAAATCTAAGGCTTGACATATAGTCACTCCGAAACGACTTGTTAATTCACTAAACCCTGGGCCAGAAGCAAGCTGTGTATGCTAATTCTGTACGTTATCATATAGCAAGTACATTTGTGTCTGACTTGATATAAAATAAAGAACTCCATATAACGTATACATTGAACCACCATGTAGTCTACATTAATTAATCCAGCAGGAGAATATTGGAACAGTAACTACTCTGCCACAGGAGTATCTGCTTTGAAAGGCGTAAGACAGATCATAATTTGGTTGGAGGAATGTAACTATTTCCTATGCAGTTCAGTACACCAAGCACATTAGGAGACAGCATCCATAGTCACACGAGGGAGAACAGCACAGAGACAACTGGGTGAACACAAAGAGACAGACCACTTGGATTCAATCTTTGCTTTAAATGATATGGAGTATTATTTATTCCTCCTCCTTTATCTGTATCTTAGAATCGTAATTATTTTTTTTTAACACTTTAAACTCCAGTTGTGATTCAATTTGGCTACAGTCAATTCCAGTTGCATTAAAGCATTCTTCAGTATTATCAGTGCTGAGGCTGTGCAGATGTACTTAACAGAAGAGCCCATTTCCCCAAGATGTTGCCCCAGGACTTTGGAAAGAACCATTAAAGAAGCTGCCTGGGTCAATTTGTGAACTTATGTACCAACAGAAAAAAAATGCAGCATGTCAAAGTTAAAAAATAACTATGAATAATTCACTGACATTCCAGGGTTGGGCATAGCACTCCTGAATCCCAGCAGTTAGGATCATACAACATTATCATAAAAAGCAAGACAGTATTAAAGAGTGGGAAAAAAAGTTATTCGTTAGGCAAGTAGCTTATTCAGAATCTAGTTTACTCATTCTGATTACATTTCCATCCTCTACAGAAGCAGTGCTTCCTCCAGAAGGCTGGTTTGCTACCAGGCTTAAGCAGCATTTCAGCTAGCCCCCAGCATAAAGGTGTTAAAACCACTGCAGCACACACTGGTGGTGTTTCAGAATGCAATGCCAAAAGTGAGCCTATCCATCTCCTTGAATTCATGCACTGAGTGGTAAATCTTCATAAGCTACCCTTCAGTGATATCTATAAAATCTCCTCAGAAGTCAGTAATTCAGAAGCCATCAGCATACATAATTAGATAGTCTTTCTGAAGAGCTCCAGTTTAAAGATCTGTCTGTCATTCTTAATCAGGTACCTGAGGTAGATTAAGCTCCAGATGCATTTAAAATTCACAGTACGTTATTTTCACATCATTTTGCTAATACTGACCCATTTCATCAAGCCTTCACTACAACACTCAGTAAAATCACTTTTATTCCAGTTATAACACAACTTCTGAATTTTTGTATTTAGCCAATTTTCCCAAATGTAATATTGTAATCACAGAGCAGGTTGTCTAATGTTTAATTAGATTCCCAAAGGTAACCAGACTGACAACAGAAGTATATCAAAAAACAGAACGTGTTTATCAGAACAAATTCATTTCTAATATATTCAGAAGTCAAAAGACAACTAATAACCAATCTCAATTACTTAACACTAAAATATTAATGTTATTAATGTTTGGTCCCTTTTATCTTTCAATTATTTTGCCTAGCACTGAAAATAAGCATTCAGCACAATTCACATGATCCCTCAGCTCCCTGAGAAAGTACAAAATCTAGTTTTAACCACCAGAAGCTATAGTCCAAATTATTCCTGGAAATCTGGAAAGATATTGCTGTTTTGAATTTCCCACCCTCGCCATTCCAGAGGGTGGAGGGTAGATGTCTACCATAGTTTGAATTTCAAAAAAAAAAAAAAAAAATCCTTCAAGACAGGCTTTTTCTTGAAATGATAATGCTAGAAAGGAGTCAATGTTTGACAGATTGAGCACATAATTAAAAAAAACTAAAGTGAGAAGGGTTATAACCAGCCATCCATTCTGAATTTTGACTACAGTCCATATTCTATATTTGGAATCAGCATAGCAAATGCATTCTGAGATGTCAGAGTACATTGAAATAAAGCAGGATTAATACCAAAGATCGGCTTATTGGAAGTTCCTGAATTTAACAACTATACTATTAAACTTTTCTCTTTTTTGCTAAGAAGTTCTAAGTAGTCTGGGCAGAAGAAAATGAAAAAAATAAGTGACAAAAAAGCCTTTAATTACTTTGTCACAACAGGTGTTAAATCTCATGACAAAGGTATGCAGGCTTGCCTGAATGGAAGAAAACTCACTGAACCTGGGGATATTGTCGTCAACTAATGCTGACTCAACACAAAGCACTGCCACAAACAAATCTTAATTTTCCTTTACCATTTTGTCTCATCTCACTCCTTAGCATAGTGGAAGTGTTTAGGGTTATTGTTTTTTGTTGTTGTTGTTGTTTTGTTTTTTGTTTGTTTGTTTGTTTTGGGGGGGACATAGTGTCTTTTGAGGAAAGGAGGAGAAGATTTTGAAACAAATCGAGATACTGTTATTCCCGCACCCAGCTCAAGTTTCAGGCAGTAAGAAACAATAATCAAAAGTTTTATAGTATTGTTCCATGCATACACAGACAATACTCCAAAATAATTTCTGAAAAAAAAATAAAATAAAATAAGGGACATGAAATCTACAGATACTCAATTCATACAGAAGTAAAATCTGGATCTTACAAAAACTGAAGAATTTCTTATCAAGTACTGGTTAAGGAGAACCCAAATTTGAAATTTTACTCCTCAGCAAGGAGCCCCTCATTTACATTTCCAGAAGTATTATATAGTGGGAATATATGAAGCAGCTTGCAAGATGTACCTAGATGTACTCGGCTTTAACTCAACTTACCAGCAAGTTGTCACAGGATGACATGCATGACAGAACATGAAAGGAAAGAATTTGAATTTTGAATTTAAGGACTATACATGTAAGTATTATGTCTATATTGAGGTAAGCTCCACCTAAGCAACAGATCAATTGATTATCAAATAAAGCTCAGCATTTCCTTTTACAATGGAAGTCAAGCTAGAACTCTGGGGAAAAAACATTAAGTCTACATCTCACTACTTAGATACACAGTTCACAGTAGTTCAATTGATTTTGACAGAGTCTAATCCACATTTATTTTCATTCATTTTAGTCAAAAAATTAAGATGCAGACTGCATAATCAGTCTCACTATGATATAAGAAGCTATGATAAAGCAAAAGAAAATTTCTTACCCAAATGTCCTGCTTTTCACTAATTGGAAAATTTGAATACAAGTCTATCATCTCTGGTGTCCTGTACATTGGTGTTGTATTCCTGGTGATCTGCGGAAGATAGAATTTCTTGAAGCAGAAACTAGAATAAGCTTTAGTGACAATCAACCACAGAGATAGAATGCTATCCAGTCTGCATGGGCAGCTATCTTTGAAAATTAATTTCAGAAACACTTGTCCATGCAGAAGCCATCAACTGAATCATGTAATAGTCACAAGGACTTTGATAACATTGTAATCTTCAAGAATATTTCCAAAACTCAAGTATGTGAAGCTAAATCACTCTTTCACATTAGGAACATTATTCTCACCTCAAAATAAAGAGCAAATGCACTTTGGAAAAAATCAACAGCATATTTAATGCTGTCACCGTAGCCCTCGGAGCACAGTAATACTGCCTACTTAAGTCCTGCTCAGAAGACCTGTTATTTCTTCATAAATCTTTTAACAGAAAATTCAGAAGGTGAGAATCTCTTCGGCATAACCAATTTTCAACTTCCTGTTGATAGTGCAATTAGAAGAGGCTCTATTAATCAATCACTTCTATTTCCACACCAGACTGCAGAGAGGACACAGTTCAAAATGAAGCTGTGCTTACAGACACAGCTACAGAAAACAAGCTATGATTTTAACTGCAGGCAGTCTTTAAACTCTAGCAACATGAATATAAAAACAGAACTTATGAACACAACTGTAAGAATCTTCATTTGTCTTAAAAGTTCCATGAATTAACAGCAGATTAATAGCAGAAAACTGAATCAACTGTCAACATTAATTACTTTAAAATAGTCTCACCTCTTCTTCAACCAGTGCTCTCTTTTGTGCAGACCAGCTATAGTCAGGGTAGTAAGCTACAGTTGTAGCACTACCAAAGTCACAGAGTTTAATTGTCCCTTGGTTACTAATGAGCAGGTTTTCCACCTTCAAAAAGAGGTAGAATAATAAATTGAAGACATCCCACTTTTAAACATCAAAACACATACTTTAAATATCAACTTATTTGTACATAACAAATATAAAAAACACATGTATGGAAAATACTTCAGTCTAGCCTGGAACATTGCTGTTTACAGGAAAACAAAGGTTTCAAACAGCACTACACTGCAATACAGACAATTTTTAAGAGGAAGCATCAAAAATGTTATAAGCATTACACATCCAAGAGAACAAGAACTAAACCCTGGGGAGAAAAACGTCATTTTATTAGTGCCCAAGGATAGGCTTGTTTTTTTTGTATCATCACTTGCATAAGCAGTATCTTGAAATACAAATGCTTTCATTCACAGAACTGAACATTGTTAGCTCAACTGCAGTGGAGTGGAGGTTAGGACTGCTGTAGATACAAAATACAGAAGTTACCAGCAGAGAAGCAGGCTGTTGGTGGACAGCCAGAATGATGCAGCCATGACCTCATGAGTAGACAGAGGCCAACTGTTAGAGGAACATGTGCTGCCTGAACATTTCATCTTCAACCCTTCCCTTTCTTAGGGCCTGAGAATCCAACCCTTCTGGACTGCTCAATGAAACTGTGAGGAAACTTAAAATGGAGAGTAAATACTGGGCAGAAGTATCACATGGTCATGTCCACAAAAACTGCTAAGATACAAGTCATGAAAAGGGACCGATGTGCATTTTAACTTTTCCAACATTATGCTACCACATTCCAGATAGACAGATCTATCTTCCCTTTCCTTTTGACACTGCTGTATCTCTGGATGTCATTCTCCAAAACTTCAGTTTTCATAACAGCCCACTGACCTCCCTTAGACATGTCCTTCTTCCACCATAAAATGAATTTTGACTACCCTGTAAAGATGACAGTTAGCTGTTTAAGTATCAAACTCAATAAGCAAATTGAATTCCTTTGTTGGATAACTTTTGCTCACCTCTTTTGCTCCCAGAAAATGGGAGGCAGAGACAAGGAGTAATCACTTTAAACTCAAAGAAGGTAGATTTAGACTAGATATTAAGAAGAAATCTTTACTGTGAGGGTGGTAAAGTAGAGGAACAGGTTGCCCAAAGAAGATGTGGTTGCCTCATCCCTGGGGGTATTCAAGGCCAGGTTGGTTGGGGCCCTGGGCAACCTGATCTAAGGATGGTGGCATCCCTGACTACAGTTGGAAATGAAGATACCCCAGAACAGGGTGATCTTTAAGGTCCCTTCAAACAAAAAACATTCTATGATTCAACATCAAATCAAGTTTGAACACTAAAAATGGGTCCAGTAACACTGGACAAAAATCAAGATTTTGTGAACATGTTGTGCTGCATACTCTGCTGAAGGTTGCTAATAACTAAAAAAGTTTCAGCTGATTATTCAGATAGTCTCTAATAGACCCCATGACTTGTGTTATGCAAGCCAAATCCTGTAAAGATCAAATTTAGATGATTAAAATATCAGACAAGAACTGACTGTTTACCAATCACTCTTTAACTAGCTTGAACTTTCACAATTCAGTAACTAGCTGGGTTCTTCCAGTGCTGTATACACGCATTTTAAGTGCAAACTTTGTCCAAAGGGATTCAGAATGTGTTACACTGAAAAGCAAGAGAAGGAAGCCACAGGAAGACAGAAACAGACACCACTATATGAAGCTGATCTTTAAGCTATATTGCAGAAACTCTATGAGTCCTACCATTTTCAGTCAAAAGAGTTTAGACAGTCTTTTTGGACTGCAGCCCATTACACCTCTCCCCAAAAACACACTACCATCTCAGATCTCATTTGAAAGTAGACTCAAAACTTTTAACTTAGGGTTTTTTGTTTGTTTTTTATGCAGCAGTGCAGGCCTGCTTTCCTGAAAGTGCAGCACAGTTAAGTGATCCCCATTTGACACTTGATTATAATAAGGTCCCTGCCTATTGCAGCACAACTGTCATTTCGTCTTGTTTTACAGCCTCTAAAATGATACCAAATTTCTGCCTCTTTCCTTATTTGATCTCTGACAGGAATTTCCCTTGACAAGAAAAAAAGCAGACCTAATTACAGCACTGGCTCAGCTATAACACACTGAAGACCTTGTATGGAACTGGCTATGTAAGACACTGTGTATCTGTAAATAGCTTTCCATCCCTTTTTGAGAGGAGAGTCGTTTTTTTTTTAAACAAGGTTTTCTAGTGGCCAGTGCATAGAGATTTCTGCCAAGATTGCAAGATCTTATTCTAGAAAGTATCACCAAAAAAGATGCATCCCAGCTTGATTAAAGTCTCTTATTCGGTATGATCTAGGAGCCTGTTTGTCAGTACTGAGAAAATCTCCTTGCCAAAACTGCAATTTGTAAGTCATAACTCTGTTTATTTTATTAAAAACAAAAAATTTTTACACTAACTTAACCAGCAAAAGACGTTACATGATTTTTTGTAACCTACCTGAACTAGCTAATAGAAAAAAAATAATGCCACGAATATAAGGAAAAGATGGTACTTGCAAAGCTGCAAGTATTTCAGTGATGACCTTCATCAACAACCAGTATTCTTGGCAAGGCAATACATGTAAGCTCTATGCTCGTGACTGTCCACTGTAATTGAGCAACAGCCTTAAGAGTAAATCAGCCTTTGCACTGTAACAGACCTTTAAGTCTCTGTGGATTATAGGAGGCTTCTGTTTATGCATATGCTGCACAGCTCTGCAGGTTTGATAAAAGATCTTCAAAACTGTATCACAGGAGATAGGTCCTTTGGGTTCTACCTTCTTTAAGAATTCCACCAGCTGTCCTGTAGAAAATCACATAAATTCACATAAGCACACAAAGAACAACATAAAGTCTGAAAGCCTGTCATGAATAGACACTCGTCAAGAAAGGTCTACAGTCTTGAGATAGAAATTCCAAAAAATGGCAAATCCACACAGACTGCAGTGCCAAGGGAAATAGCACTCCTGGGAAACATTCCTGCTGTTCCTTCCTGGACTGGTCTCAAATACAAAGAACTTCGTGATTACCCCATATTTAAGAAGATGTTAAACCATCTCAAAGAACATAACACAACTCTTATGAAAGAGGGAGCTGAATTCTAGCTCTAATGAGCTATGCTATATTTAGGAGGTTTTTAGAACTAAGCCGTGAAGCAACCTGGGCAAAACAGCTGTCAGAAGTGATGTCCAGTGCTTAGAGAAAAAATGTTTACCTTTACACAACTCTGTAAGCAGAAGAAACTCTCCCTGTCCCGTGTCTGATTCTTCTTTTCCTATAGATGCAGCAGAGCAGAACTGGACAATGTTGGGATGGCCTGAAAGTTTTTTCTGGAGGTAATGTGTTTAAGGAAGAATACTGTCAAATATATTGATATTACGGTATATAGAAGTTCACAGACACCTCTTTTGAATGTTAGCTCAAACTCACAGAAGGTATTACTGCTGCACTTAAGATACTCAGCCAAACAAGTAAATCCATATCTCAGCTGCAAAAATAGACTTCAAGGCAAGCCACTGAAAGTAACATAGCAAAAATAAAAACATTCTTGTTATTAAGGCTTCAAGGACACTGGACTTTGTAACAGCCTTAGATACTCCTTCTCTTTTTATAATGACTGCAAAGCATTAACAGAAGTGTCAGGGATACATTTTAATAATTAGATGCTTCTCTAGTCAGCTTACCAAGAAAGGGCTATTGTATCAACACCTGCCTCTACAAGACAAGTATTAAGTCCACAATGCTTAAAATTAAGTCAGTACAATAAAGTTCAACGTAAATAAAAGTTCTAAATGACTGGGAAGCTTACCTTCTTATGAGTAATAACTCATACTAAAACTCTTGCCATTTTTCACTTACAGTTCAAATATCCAAGATATCATTTTTGAACTATGTGAATAGGAGAACCACAAAAGTGATCTCAGCTCCTTCTAGTGGAGATTTACATTGCACTATGCCTACTTGTGTTGTTCCTGATGTGCATCACCCTAGCCAAACACTGAGAATCATGTCTGCGAGACAAATAAATGATTTACAAGCTGCATTCACCAAGTCTAAAATGAAAAAAAAAAGGAAAGACAACCTAACAGAAGTATAAAAACAAAAAGTGCAAGTTAAATCCATCAAGTTAGTATGAATCAGAAGTGCTTTTTCTTTTATCACATGCATCTCTTCAGAGCCTTTTGCTAACTACTGTGAGAAGTAGTTTCATTACATAGTTATATTATCTCAGAAAGTTAGCACAGTTAAGCCTCTTTCCCGTTGTTAGTATACTTCAATGAGTGAGCTGTGAAAATACACACAAAGAATAATCGCTTACTCCTGGCAAGGCGCAGTCAGAGTAGCTAAAAATTGCACAATGTTATGGTATTCAGCTCTTTGCAAGTGTATTTTTTTCAGCAGACGGTGTCCACGTGACATTTTTGACAAACATTTCAGCAGGCATACAAAGAAACATCTTAGTAGCTTAACTTAAGATCAGTGATTTTGCATGGTAACTCAAAATGCAACTGAATATAGTAGCCAAAAACCAGCTGCATGCCACAGCTACTCACTGACTCTTGAAACAAAGTAAGGGTATTAGAAATGCTGGGATACAAGTATCAAGTCTTCTAAAGCTGAGGACTGAGAACATTACCTGGACTGAGAAATAAAACATGACAGATTGTATTATACCTAACACCTGACATCATTGGAGGTGAAAAGGATGAACACACTGATGGTTCTGCTCCTTGTTTCTGCTCCACGGATTCTACTGAAATTCCTTCCTCTAAATTCACTATTACTTTTTAAAGCAAGGTGCACCTGATGCAGAAATTAAGATATACTGACAGTAAAAGCGAGATTATGAGTAGTCAAAAAGGCAGTAAATGCAGTGCATGTGAGGAAGTATCATTAAGATTTAAATATCATCATAAAGGACAAAAGCTCTCTTCATGGTGGCCAGAGGGCGACAAGAATGCTCAAATAAGAATTTCATTACTTGGTAGACAGAGTACATGGCAAAGTCTACACCACCTACTAAAATTATCTGTGCACATTAAATTCCTGCAATTTGAGGAACTGAGCTTATTGGAATGTCAGTGCCAGAATCACATCAAGCCAGGAGGAACTCAGATCTTCCTCAAATGTCAGTCCTCTTAACCAGCATAAGGCATGAACAGAGACAAATCTGTAGACCAGTCAATTTCTCAGAAACGTTTCACACCAAGCAATTAAATCAAAACATTTAAATACATTCAGAAAAGGATACCATGAAACAAACTTCCTGAATGATGGCTTTATTCTTTTCTTCCTCATTAGACAACAACCTCTGTCAGAAACAAACAAAAATAACATACATTTGAAAAGATACCAGAAAAACAATGCATACTGTTTTTATGTATTATATTTTTCAGAACACAAAGGATAAGCTAGAGTTAAAACCTTAAGGAATTGCAATGGGACAGTAAGCAGAGCAGGGTTTTTACACACTTGGACATACTGCGACAAACGTAATGGTAAATTTTCCAACTACTTGTACTGATCATGTTTAAGTACAAATAAGCAGTGGTAACCTCTGACACTTGTAAACATACTGCTCTGACAGTCTTCTGCTGTATACAGCACTGAAGTCTCCTGATTCCAGCACTGCGTACTGACAAGTAAAGATTCATCTTATGTCTCAAGAAAATACGATTAACATTTACTACACCTTAATTACTCAAGTTTTTTGTCCAAAGAGGTAGCTCAACTTCTTCTAGGTACCTGAATAATGAGCAACAAAAACAAGCACTACTTGTTTGAGTACTGTTTGGACCTGGAGTCAACATTTGAATAGGACTAACCTGAGTATTTGCTACTTCTAGTTCAACAAAACTGCAGAAGTACAGTAATGGTTCACTTTTTTTAACCTATATTTAAATGAGGCTACTTCTACAAGACATTTTGAATGTCATGACCACATACTACGGTAACAAAGCATGCAACTAAAGCATGCTTTATGGTAACAAGCTTTGTTATTGTAGGATGTGGTATGGAAAAAAAACAGAGCAAGTCATTTTCAGTTGTGTAATGCCACCTTACTGCTCCCAACTCTTGTACTACTACTCTTTTCCCCTTCCTCCCCAAAACAGATATCTCCTTTCTGATATAGGCACAGAACATCCCTACTCCAAGACTGAAGTCATTTTGTAGGAAACAAGTGACAAGTGTGATTTTTTCCAGCAACGTATGACAGAGTAAATGATTTCATTTTATTGTCCTCCCCACAACACTTGTTTGTTAGCTGTCAAATGATTATTTTAAGCCTTCAGAACATGAGAATCCAGAGGAGCATCTCTGAAAAGTGCACTGCTAAATGGGTGAAAGTATGGAACATTTTAAACATTTTAATTTTAATATGAAAATGTTCCAGGTTCTTTATATCCACGCAACAAAACCCCAGGGCAGAGTCATGAACTTCTGCATAAGACCCAAATAAAATAAGGCACACAGCACTATTACTTAATACAGTAACTCCTGTTTTTGTTATGTAAGTATAAAATGCAGGGTCCTAAGATTAATGACAGTTCTAAATATGGGTATAGTGCAGTACAAACACCACTGTATCATTCTGGATTTTTCCAAATGCCTTGTTCAGTGGAATATATCAAGAAATAACTATCATCCTAAAGTATTAGGGAAAGATGGACGTTGCAAACCTGGAGTTAAATAAATTCATTTTACCTTTAAAGCATATTCTTTGCCACTTCCAAGATCCTGAGCTTCGTAGACAAAAGCAAAACCACCTGCAAGACAAAGACTCTTTAAGTCAGTTTTAATTTTCAGCATTCAGATAAATCAATTTTTAAATACACACATTAGCTTGGTTAGAATAAAGAAGCTTTACTGAATGTAAGTATATGTATTTTTTGATGCCAATAGTATATGTAAGCTACATACAAGAGCAGTACTTGCTTTCTTTTGCACATGTCTTTTGCCCCACCAGCTTTGTAACTGTTCTGCGTTTTGTTAGCCTGCACATGCGGATTTTTTTTTTTTTAAACAAGCACATATAAAAACAACATTTGCTACAGCCTATATACTGAATGATTTTAACTAAACTATTCTTGTTTGCTTATTTGTTTTTATTATTAGTCTTGCCATTAAAAAAAATAACCAAGGGAGTTTAAAATTTTAAATACAAATCTCTTTGTATGTTTAGGATAACTACCACACTTTAGTGTTCATATTAAAAGCCCAAAGCATTTTCAAGCACTGAAGCACACATTTCCACTACCACATAAAGTATGATGTTGTCACTAATCTGAAATTTAATCATTCCTTATACCATTTCTATTTTTCCTGTGAATACCTTCCTCGGGGTTACATCAACAGTGTGGTTGCACACTCACTCTCCACCTATTGCAGCAAATGCCTGGTGGACTAAAAGCCAACCACAGCAAGTGACAAACTTGAGCTGAGTTGCCTTTCTACACCATAAGTATAAATTCTATTCTCATTCAAATACCTAGTGACGTCCTCTCTAGAAGTAATTTGGAAAATAAGCCCAGATGTCAGTGACCTAGAAAATTTCACTGGTCAAAAGGTCTAAGAGAACAGGGTAAGGAATAAAAATGTCAGGCAAGAAATAAGCTGACAAGGCACTTTTTAAAAGATGCATGATCCAAATAACTAGTTATACTAGCGCCCAGTACCTTTTCTCTATGGATGAGGAACATTAACATGAGGCTGAAGCAAACACTTATGTGCCTCATGCAATTCAATGAGATTGAAGGCTTTTCAAGAAGTACCCTCAAAAGTGTCACACTGTAATCAGCCATCACGTACTCACTTTTTAAACTCCACAGCTCCCAAATGTTACCACCAACATACCCTGTTACTGTGCCATAAGCAGCAACAGCAAGATCTGAATGAATCACAGGCTCCCCGATACTCAGTTCTTTTACAGTACAATTTTATGCAGAAACCACAAAACCAAAACCCCAGTAGCAAGGAGAACAAGATAAAGAGTAACTACAGCACTAAAGAAGAGTGAAAGTATCAATGGTATCAAAGAGGACAGACAGTACCCCCTGCTAGAGTACTTCAGTCCTCCCTTACAGGCCTGCTTTGTGTTTATCCATTTATTTTGGTCCTTTTCCTAAAAGCAGGTTTGCTGCTTTCCACATGCCCTCAGTACAAGTGTTCTGGTTGGCAACTGCGATCACACACCTGAATTTGGGATGCTGATGGGGGCAGGGGCTGGAGACAGAATGCAGTGCATGCCACCATCCTCGTGTACGACCTGAGGAGGTTTTGGCTCCTTTCTGAATCAGAACATAGGCAATAAAACCAGAGCCAATCAGCTACGACTGCTGCTTACAGATTTCATAGCACTAGTGAAACAAGCAAGGTAATCCACGGGCCATCCCTGGACTGAAGCTAGGTGCTGGGAAGCCACAGCCCATACTCAGTTTTCCCCACCAGTTCCCTGCTCACAGCACGAGGCATGACCCAGGGTTCAGAGCCCACCATTGCAGTCAGCAGGCCACATACACCAGGCACCGTGCTGCAGTGGTACTGCCTCCACACCTCTCTGCTACACAGACCTCACAGGGAAAGCACTGCTGGACCTGCAGCAGAAAGTCTTTGCATGCGTCTTGATAAATATCTCCTGGCCTTATTCTAATAGCCCTGCAAACGGCACATTGAAAAAATGCATGCTTTAGTTTACAAAGCTGGGGGCTTCTGATGGCACAGTTTTCTACTACAGGAAGTTACCACGCAGTTTTCTGGACAGGACTCAAGTGTCAAATGGTGACAGTGGCACCCCAGGTGACTGAACAGTTACTTTGCATGCTCAGCTGCAACTGGCAAGTGTTCTCTGAGTGCTGAAAGGGGGTAAGTCCAAAGGTATTTCAAGCACACACCTCGCTAACACTGCCACAAACACCAATGTCCATGCATCTACACAGATGCACTCCAAAATACAGCTTATGCTTCACCCAAAAGCATCAAATGATGCCTTCGGATTTGCACAGGTGACAGAATCAATACATCAGAACTAACTCACACCAAACAGTAAATCGAAAGAAGCAACTTGATTAAAATATTGATAGCTTGAGGGTATACAAATAGTTTAAAGGTAACACTTATTTTAGTAATTATACCAAAAATCAAGCACAGCAATGCTAAATACATTAAGTACACTGCACTTTTCAGAACCCCAAACAAAAGCCAGCCAGCTGGTATTATGCTTGGTTAAATTCTCTTTATCAGGCTCATTTTATAAATAAAGTACCTTTCACTGCTACAGGGCTTAATCTGATCCTTTACAGCTATATGCCTGTCAAACACCAATTTTAAGTTTCTCATTCAGTTATTTCATTCTGTTTCACCTGAACACAGTTTGGTTCCATACAATATTATCTATCCACTCTTAACTGCAGTAGTACAGCTGATACTAATTTTATGTCTATAGATTTTCTGGGAAACAAAAAGTCTGGTGAGAAGTTGTGAAGCTACTTATTTACTTGGTCCAGCCACCTATTTTCGATAAAAGCAATTATTTTCAAAAATAAAAAAGACAAAATGTGTCCTACTGCTTCATTACTAGAAGCAGTTTTATTTAGAATTTGATACTAGCTTCCTTGTAGAGCTAGCCTGTTCAAGCAGTTTAAACATACCCTGAATAGAAACAACTTCACTGGCTAAACTTCTTTGCCATGACCAAGACAGTAAGTAATACAATTTGCAAAAATAAAAAAAAAAAAAAAAAAAAGCAGTTTCATCTGTGTAGGGCTTTCACCCTGCTCTGCTGGGTCGCTGAACTTCCCCACAACTTCTTTCTCTCTCCCTCCACAAAGGGAACGGGGAAGAAAATACAATGGCAAAGGGCTCAGGGGGTAAGATAAGGATGGGGAGATCACTCAACAACTACTATCACGGTCAAAACAGACTCAGCATGAGGGAGGTTAATACAATTTTTTGCCTATCACTAGCAGACTAGAACCATGAGAACGAAAAGCAAACCAAAAAACATCTTCCCTCCATCCACCCTCCTCCACTTTCTCCCTTGGGAACGGGGGCTGTAGTGCTTCATCTCTGAGCCTGCGGGGGCTGCCCACAGGCAGCAGCTGCTCTTCAAGAACTGCTCCAGACATGGGTCCATCCCACAAGGTCCCCAAGAGCAAACTGCTCCAGCACGGGTCCCCCACGGGTGGGGGCAGCTCCCCTCAGACCCCCTGCTCCTGCGTGGGCTCCTCTCCATGGGCTGCAGCTCCGGCCCGGGGCCTGCTCCTGCGGGGGCTCTCCATGGGCCGCAGCCTCCTCCAGGCCACATCCACCTGCTCTCAGGGTTTTTTTTTTCCTTTCCTTCAGTCTGCTCTCCCAGAGGCCCACCCAGCATCGCTCCCTGGCTCAACTCTGGCCAGCAGCAGGTCCCTTTGGAGCTGGCTCTGCTCTGACATGGGGCAGCTGCTGGGCTCTGCTCACAGAGGCCACCCCTGCAGCCCCTGCTACCAAATCCTTGCCACAAAATAAATAAATAAATAAATAAATAAATTCCACCCCTTGCCTCAATGAAAAGCATATTTAAGAGTGATCACAACACACTCTTACTTCACAATCAACCTTCACGAAGTTCACATACATCAAAAAGAATTCCCCACACCAAAATAAACATAAGATCACCACAACACTGACAAAGTGCACAATTTGCACATGCTCCACCCCTCATCCTTTCACCACAGTACTGAAACGCATTCTTCACAATTATTTAAGTTATTCTCAACTATTACATTAATAAACAGCATCCAGCCCCTGTTTTGCCTGTTACTTCTCTCAGTTATCATCCTTATCTCAACCTCCTGGAGCCCCACATTTGGAGCCTTTTTGGGCACCAGCAAGGACTGTGGTGGTTGTACCCTGCTGAGCAGCTGAAATCCACCACAGCCGCTCCCTCACTGCCCCTCCTCAAAGAAAAAGGGGGAGAAAATGGGAGGGGAAGGGCCCAGGGGTTGAGATAAGGACAGGGAGAACACTCACCACCGATCTACATGGGGCAAACAACACAACCTACCCAACTATATCCACACCAGGGATTTCCCTGTCAGTCATGTCAGCCAAGGACCACGTCCCTGCACCAACATACCCGAATAAGCAAACACCTCCACTGCAGACCAACCGATGCAAACAAGGAAATGAAAGTTAAGGACAGAAGGACTACTTCAGTTTCTTTCCTAGGGGTGCAGAAAGGAGTTTTGTTTTGGGTGGTTTCACTCATCACTTCCACTCCTGTAAACATATGTAGGTATTTTTTTAAGCCAGTTTTCTGAGGCTTTTCGTATCAGCAAAATAATTTTACAATTTCTCCATACAGGTTACCTGTGTGTATGTATATATGCACACACACACACATCCAAGCTCGTGCCCCAAGGAACAAAATTTACAGTCTTGAGGCATTTCAGTCCCGTTTCTAGAATGCAGAGAGAGCTTCCAAAAAATTCTCAGACCGTTTTGTCACAGAAACCATGACAGAACAAAACTGTTTTTCTTCATCTTCTGTAGGCACAAACTCAGCTGTAGGAGGCACACTACACAAAGCACCATGCCCACTCATGAAAACAGAGTAGCCAAGTACGACAGCCAGTCCTGGAACCAGCCTGCTCCACGCACCACGACCAGAGCACAGAGCTTACCAGCCTCACCTCCCGGTCCACATTGCCACTGCCTTCTGACTTTGCATTGGGAACTTGCCTTACCTCCCCTGTGTTAGTAATTAGCACTTTGTACCTGTCCTTACACC